AAGACGTACAGACAGAAAACAAACTAATGATGTTCGGAAAGACAAAAGAAGAAACGTGTCACTTTTTGTTCTGTTGGTGGCTGGCTGCCAGCTTCTACTGATTTTCTGGTTTCTGTGATTTGTAGTTTATTTCAAAATGCTTTTAGATGGAAAAATATGTTATGTGTCACAAATAAAGTGACTGCAATAAAACTGGTGTAATCAGAGAAATTCTCAAGCTAGAGTTATCCAAATGTAAACAAACAAACAAAGGAAACCCAGCTTGGGGCATCTGGAGAATTATTTTTCTGTTATTGGGGAGAAACAGCGTCTCAAATAACGCGTCTAAAATACTTCAGAGTTGGAAAAGCGTGTTCAGTCTCCAGATAAGGACATTCCACTCAGGTTTGTCCAAACTGTTTACAAATAGCTCTTTCTCCCTGACCGTGGTTTTAACCGGTTCTGCTGTTGACGGCTCCTCTGCAGATTCACCTCCAGGTGCAGATCCTGTTCTGTTCTTCCCTATGTTTTGTACCCCGGCTGTCCATTCCTCGCAAGCAGACTGCGTTCGTTTATCATTTAATTCGCCGCGTGAGTGAAGGCTACAAACTCCAACCAACACACCTCAACCACCGAAATGGAGGGGCGGATGTGGCGTCAGACCTGCTCAATGGGAAGGACGAGTGTCTCCAGGAGCAATGAAACAACAGCCAGCCAACAAAGAAGCAAGAAACTGTCAGAGTTTTGCATCAGGACTACATGACATTAGTTTGGAGTGATGTGGAAATTCTTTGTTTGAGTTTTTTCTTTTCATAAACGTTCATGTGTGGATATTGGCGTCCGTCTTTCACTGCTTTAACCACATCCAAAAAGGTTGAATGTTCACGTAAACCGAGTGCTATGAGATTCATTTGTACATGGAGTAAACTAAACAGCTGATCTAAATTTTTTATTATGTTTGAGCCACAGTAAATTTCAATAAGACAAAACAGAACATTCGAGTTTATTTGAGTCCATCCAAACCACAATCTAGAAGTTCTATTCAAGGATTTTTATTTTGTTTCACAGTAGACTGACAGGAAAGCAGGTGGCGAGAGGGGGGAGGCCTGCTGCGAAGGTCAACAGGTCGGCTGCGTGGAGAACTGAGGCCTCCGTATGTCAGTCGCGTGCTCTGCCGCCTGTCTCGCCGTTCCTACTTTCCTTCCCATATTCACGCTCACAACAGTGAGAAACCAGAACGCAGAGATGCAGAACCAGGACAGCTAGAACCGGATCAGCTAGAACCGGATCAGACGTTGTCAAGTCTCACTAGAGACTTGATTTGACAACGTCTCTAGTGAGATGTAACAATTTTTACATTTGATACAGGTGGATACACTTTGTTACAGTACAAAATGATAACACATTTTGTACTGTGTTATATATGATAACACACACAGTTATCATATATATGTGGGTCACTTCTTCACTACACATTTGATGACAAAACATAAATTGAGAATGTTTGTCATATCGTCACAGGAGTAAAAATCCATCACTGCTGAGACTTCATAGACATCATACACCACTCCTATTCCTCAGTTAAACTACAGACTTGTTCTTATTTTTGCCAAAAGGCAACAATAAGATTTTTTTTTTAAACTGCAGACATTAGTGAAAAAATAAACCAAAAAAAAAAACATTTCAGATTGGTCATTTTCTTTTAATAATTATTGAAATCATTTCAGTAAAAAGCACTGAAACACACAGAGCTGTTCCTGCTTCATCAACAACCAACGTGAGCCAAACCCTGCAGTTGGGAAAGCTCTACTTGCAACAGGATTGTCAGAATTTCATGGTTTTATAAGTGGAACATGCTGAACTCATTGAGAAACTAAATATATTGCTCCAGGAAACTTTTCCACCCAACATGTGAAAACAAAACAGCGCCATGCTTTAAAATAGTGCTTCAGTGAGGTGGATGCTTATCTGAATGATTTGAATATCACGTCTAAGCAAATGATCTAAGCCACATATTTGCAAAGATGCAGATAAAGTGAGAGATGCATTGCGTGATACGGAAGGTGATACTGTTTTTTGTTTTATTTTTTTCCAGGCGTCATGACCGCTAATGAGATCAGCTGTCACAGTTTTGTCTTCTCACCACTTACGATTTTACAACACATACAGTTTCCAAGTCTTTAATATAACAATATTTTGGAATAAATACATGCACACACACAAATAAATTCAAGTGAGTATATGAGTAAAATATAAAGAAACATGCTAATTCTTTGCTTTAACAAATAAATTGAAATTGGTGCCCTTTTAACATTCGTCTTTGTAATACCTGAATATTGGCACTGACAATATTGTGAGGTACAAGGCCTCACTGATATTTTATATTTCTGTTTTACGAACAAATGTAGTGTTTCCTGCTTTAAGGACTCAGGGAAAGCTCTTCTCCGGTCAGCTCCAAACTCTAGAATCAAGACATTTTTGGCCAAAACTTTTCCTGTTTGACTTCTCTCTGATTGTCACCTATAATCAGCAGCAGTAGTCAATAAAGGTTTAGGACAGCTGTGAGAGCCATCATGTACAGCCAAGTCTTTACAGTAAGAGTCTGAGATCAGACTCTTACTGTTGATCTCAGAAGGAGAAAAAAAACACCCCCACTAAAACATCAACCTGTCATCAAATCAAACTGACCTTGTTTTCCAGCAGATTTCCTGTGAACCAGTTGGTCGCCTGACTACTTACTGGTTTTGTCCTCTCAGCTCGGAGCTCTGTTCCGTCTCTCTTCCTCCTCCTGAATAGTTCCAGTAGGAATGCACAACTGGCTATAGCAACTGAGTAACTGTGCAGCTCTCTGTCACTCCTACTATTCCACTGTGACAGAACAAATAAGCCCTTTGTGGGAGCTCACCTCACTCTACCTCAGACATACACACACACACACACACACACACACACACACACACACACACACACACACACCCCCACACACACACACACACACACACAGAGGGACGAAAGAGCGATTTAGCAAGATGAAGGAAGTTGGGTCAAAAGGAATGATGACAAAACCAGCTGCAAAACCTAAATTGATTGCATGTACAATGTTTCTTATTCACAATGGATTCCAAATGTAAAAGGTTATATTTCACACAGAAAGCACAACTTTCAGAGCAACACTTTTGTTAAGAAAGCCATTGAAATTGTGAATAGTTGTAAATAACTCAGTCCACCTGAACACCCAGAGCTCTACGACAGAGAGTAGATTCAGAACCTTCACACTGATATTGTGCAAGACTTTCTTCCCAAAGACTTCAAAGCGACCTAGCAGTGAAGTGTTTGAAGACAGATACACTGCGTACTGATGGAAAAGCAGGAAAGACAGTAATGGAAGGAAACACATATTGGTCAGACAGTGAGCAGCAAACAATTTGATGGAGTCTGACAGAGAAATAAAGGACTTCTTATTTGAGCCTTAGCATGAAACTGTTGGAGCCCACACCCAAACCCTCTGCGAGGCTGAGCACAGCATCACGAGATGATGCAGCTTCACTCAGCATATCAGAGACCAGCTGTCACCTTGTCACTTAATTTGTCACCCGACTGCTCACTGGTTTCTGTTTGTCCGATGGGTCTCGGTTCTGGTTCGTCTCTCTTCTCTCTCCTTGACACTTTGGCTGTCACGCCTACCCAACAGCTGGATGATGTGGCCATCCTGGAAGAATGACACCAGTAAGAACAGAATGCAGGTTAAACTGCAAAGGAACACAACCAGTGATGGCATAGTTACTTTGAAAAAGTCATTGTAATCGGATTACTGAGTACTCCTTGAAAAAGTAATTTAGATTACTGAATAATTGATTTGAAAAGAAACTAAGTTAGATAACAAGTCACTTATTTAGTTACTTTCAGCAGCTGTTGACAACAAACCTCTGCTGCTTGTAAAAGTGACACAGAGCTTTGCCTATTCTTCCAGCAACAAAATGCGGATCTGCCTCCTCCCTCCATTTGTGTCACAGCTGCTAACTGTTGGATAGAAATGGCGGTCGCTTCTGAAAACCCACAGAGGAAATAAAATTACAAAAGAAAGTAGTAATGTACTATTAGGACTTTCTTGCTGCTAGGAAACAGTGCTACATTTTTGTTTCATTTTTAATATTTTACTCACTACATTTATTTTTTTATTTACACCAAAAGGAGAATTTAAAGACCAGTTGATCAAACAGTCTTAATTTCAGACTTTGTCCAGGGAGACGGAGCACCAGAGAGAACCAGAAACAGGAAATTTAATTTCAACTGGTAGAACGTATTTACCAGTTGAAATTGAATGTAAAGCAAAGCTGTCAATGCTTGACTTGATCCCTACAAATAAGCAAGTCCACCGAAAGAATGTAGAAAAAGCAAAAATGCCGGGGATGGACCTGGAGGAATGTTCTGCTCTCAGTTCATAGACTGCAATTTTTTGGGTAATCTATACCTCTGGTCCAAAGATATTTTTCTAAGCATTGCATGTTTTAAAAAGCTGACATTTTTCTTGATTTTTTTTATTGTATTTTTATTTTGAATGTCTTCAAATTCCATTGCATCATACTGCCACATGAAATTTCACAGACACCTAAACATATCTTCTAATCTAGATGATCTCCTCAGGGGTGGTCTCTAATAAAAATGTGTTGTAATATTCTAATTGTAATTATTATGTTTCCCTTAATATACGCAGGATTAAATCATCATAAGTAACAGTAAGAAGTGCTGGGGAAACCTGTCTGTGTAGTTAATCTATGTAATACCATCGTCACTTCCACAGTGATAAAGTTTCTGAAATGAAAGGACTTTTCAGTAAAATTCTAATTTAGAGAATGAAACTAAACCATTTTGATTCACATTAACAGAGTGCTGCAGACAAACTGCTGTAACTCTGGGTTACTTACGTATCTCCACCTGCTGGGGGCGACAACGAACCCAGAGGCGTCTCAAACCACAACATGCCGAGGAAAAAAGAAGGAAGCCAGGAATGATGACGCAGTTAGAAAGCGCCGGATCGCTAGCAGTTGAACTAACAGGTATAACAGAGTTTTGACAGATTCTTCTGATTTGTGCTGATATTGGCGCGTGCCAGATGGTCCAGGAGCCAGCCGGGCTCTGCTTCGTGCTCCTTCTTCACCCGTGTGAGCCGTCATGGCGGAGGAGGAAGGCATTGTGACAGAGCAGACGGAAGAGGCTTCGGGTGGACTGTGCTGGCTGTCAGTGCTGTCCTGCCTCCTGCTCGCCTGCTGCTATGTTGGCAGTTTGTATGTCTGGAGGAGCGACTTGCCCAGGTGAGTATTAAGAAGCATTAGACTAAAGGCTATTCCGCAGTGTTTAGCTGCTCTGAGCTGCGGCTGCTCCAGAACATGCCGAGAATGCTCAACTGAACTGGACTCTTCTGCAGTAAAGGCGAAATCTATTAAAACTAGTTTGTAAGACTTGTCAAAACAAAACAAAAAATATGTTCTCAATTTTCTTCTTTACCTCCATCCATCCCCTCTCTATCTGGAAAACATCCCAATAAACCTTGTCAGTAGCCCATATTTCTGTGGCTTGAGTTTTTCTGTTTTGTTCCTTGTCCCTTTTAGTTCACTGCTTAACATCACATTTTGTGCTTCATTAGGTACTTGAAAGAAAATGTGTGTCAAGTGAAGGATTGTGATAGTTTGTCACCTATTCAACAACATGACAATAAAGCTGAAGCAGTTTAGAAATGGAGATTTGTTGTTACTGAGGCTTTCTAAAGCTGATTGTTCATAGATTTACTTGCGTCCTGTCAGCTGCTCCCTTTAGCTTATTGAACTGTTTTAATATAGATCCAGTTTTTCTTTCGTCACAAAGCAAACTATCGGTCTTTAGAAAAACAACCACCAGACAAGGTATACTTCCTCCACTATCAGAGACTGTCTGTCTTAGAAATGCTCCCATTTTTGAATCCCACTAGTGCCCTTTGACCCTCATGCCTTCCTCTGCCTTCAGGGATCATCCTGCGGTGATAAAGAGACGCTTCACCAGCGTCCTGGTCGTGTCGGGTCTGTCGCCTCTCTTTGTTTGGGCATGGAGAGAATTCACTGCAGTCAAGGTGAGTTTAAAACAAACTTTGTTCAAATGAATGGTGTATTCTGGGGATTCAGTCTTTTACAGAGAGCTGAAATGGCAGAAATTAACTGGACTGAAATATATCCATATATACATATGTGCCAAATATCTCCAAGCATTCCTCAAAAGAAAATCATTTTTTCATTTAAAAAAAGTTGATTTTATTTAATTTCTTGATCTGTATAACATCCCATCATATTGCAGGTTTTGTCATTATTACAATATATGCCTGATAGTTAAATTAAAGATTAATGCATCAAACTGGGTCCAAACCCATACATGTGAGCTGTGGCTACAATTCGGTGCAGTTTCTTTGTAAAGCAGTAACTTTTCTGGCATGTGGTTCAGATATTTATACACAGCCTGACATACATGATCAAAACATAGCTAAGATGTGTACTATTCAGTCATTTCTGCTGATCCAACCCTGCTTTCTTTTTCAGTCAGAGTGAAATGACCCCATACATGCATGTCATGCACTTTGACGCACAGACCAATCTTTATGAGACAAAAACTGAAGAATAGTACTATTTGCACTCGAGTGAGGTTTTCACATCCTTTTATTTTTATTTTCTTTATTGTGTGTGAGTGTTACGTTATTGTCTGAGGAAAAACGCGGTTCAGTTTCATCGTTTACGTTTAAAGAATAAAATATTAACATCGTGAAGAAACATTGAGTTTGAAACTTCTTGGTGTAAATAACATAAAATATAGTCAGATTTCAGTGTATTTAGGTGAGTTTTGACGCTTTTTCGTTTGATATTGCCAAAGAAAAAGTTTGCGTGGCTGCCGCACATTTTCACACCAGCGAAAAAGTGTGCGTATATTTACGCAAACTTTGATGCAAAGTTCATTTTTAAACATGACGTCTTGTGCGTAAAATATGGCGTTGCACATTTTTTGTGCGCACATGCGCTCTCTCTGGTTTCCCGCTAATACCTTCATCGACCTGATGTAAGACTGCTTTGAAATATTTTGTTTTGAATAGTTTTGCCTAATCAGCTGCCTTAATGTCAGCTGATTAGGCAAAAGTGGCACATGTTTAAGTAAATACTGTTTTTATCCTCACTGTACCTTTGTTATGTGTTTATGTCAGACTGTCTCACCATTGCTGGCCCTCCTGGGGATTCGCCTTGAAGGTTTTATTCCTGCAATTGTTCTTCCTCTGCTGCTGACTATGGTAAGAAGTCATCCCCACTGAATCCATTCTGAAAAATGCTGAAGTTGAATCCTAATAACAACAGAAAATCCACCACATACAATAATACTAATTATTTCATTATTAGATTCATGATGAACTGATTCCATTCTAAAGGGTGTACTTACTTTTTTTGCCACCCGTTTATATATTAATGTCTGTGTGTTGAGGAGATGGCAAATTCTGGAACAAACTTCCAGAAAACTGAAAAACAGCCGAAACACTGAGTTCCTTTAAATCTAGACTAAAATCCCACCTGTTGAGAGCATTTGTTATGCTTTTGAATCATAACAAATGGAACATTAACAAGCATATTGTAAGTGTATTGATGATTTTAATGATGGCACTTGACAAAATGTAATGTCTGTTTTTGGTTTTCACAGCTGTTGACTGTATGGTGTGTCTATGGATTTTTCTTTTTCCTTTTTTTTGGTACGTTCACATTGTGAACATTGTGAATGTAGTCATACCAGTGCCAATATTTAGAATGTTTGATGTTTATTGAGTTTGCTTTATTTTATGTTGTGCATGCTTTTATTTATCGCTGTGAAACTCTTGAAGAAAATCTCTTACTACCAACACCTCTGCTCTTTGTGAGGTGATCACCCTCAAATGAATGATTTCCTTTATATATACTCTGTTGACTTTCGACAGTGTTGCCTTTTCACCAAAAGTGAAGAAGTTTTTCCTTTAACCTAAACCTGTTTCAGCTCCTAAGGAGCAGTCAGTGGGTGGGAGAAACTGTCCAAATGTAAGTCTGGTGTTTTGTGTATGAAACTGAATTGATGCTGTGTTTATTCCTGCAGGTCCTGTTTCTGGGCCCACTAATGCAGCTGTCCATGGACAGTCCCTGGAGCTTCATAGATGGTGTTCGCGTGGTGCTTGGTGAGTCCAGAAGCTTTCATTTTGCTTTTCTGCATAAACAAGAATTTCATTTTAAACTTTGGTTTGTCTACCTACTCTGACACACATTAAGGAGTTAACTAACTGCCTCTTTGTTTCTGAAACATTGGCGCCAGCTCTGTTTTTTGCACATTCATGTTACAGTTGAACATCCCAGTTGATCTGTTGCCAATTTTTTATCCACATTCTTTATAAATATGGCTGCGCTTCATACTTTAATTATACTGCTTCATTTTCTGGATATTTATAACATTTAATAACATAATAACTGGCTCTTTTTAATCTATTGCTTAAAATATTATTGGTCTCTTCCCATTTTAAACATCCTGTGGATGGGGGATGAAAGCAAGCTCAAATTTCCTTTAGCCAAATACAGTAGTTACATGGTTTCAGGTAAATTATCTTTTACGTTGAACAAGAAAAAGTGTTTTTGTTTTTTGTCTGTTTACTGGAATGAGAAAACATTTTAGATTAATACCAATCTGGGTTTCATAAAATTATAATCTCTTACATGAGAAATAGTTTTAATATTGAGTTAGATATTTTAGTTCCTACAGTGCAGAAACTAAAATATGAAATAGTTCTCTGCATTCTCTATGTGGTCAATATGGCTTCCCTCAGAGAATGTAGAGCTATTTCTTTGCACCATGATGGTTTGTGTTGCACTAAAACAGTGTCATCACATCTGCTCCAATACTAAATAACAACACTTAGTTACAGAAAAATATTTTCTAGAAGTTGTCTGTTATTTCAACTGAATTATGACTATTTTGCAACACTGAATCCAAAAATGAAATCTATTTTCTCCAATCAGGTCAGGTTTTGTATCCTAATTTGATTCAGAGAAATTTGATCTTCAAACTAAATCGATTCCATTTTTGTGACATTATCAGTTCATTTCTGTTAATATTTCTCATCCCCAAAAGGTTTTAGGAGAAAGAAAAATGTTTTCTAACAGAATGTATTAATTCAATGTTACAAACTTGAATTTATTGAAAGTTGACCTGATTGAGCAAAACCAATGTGATTTTAGGATTCAGCTCATCAACATGACCCTAAAACTGTTGAAAAACCCTTGACAATTTTTTGGCTCTTGACCAGTGACCAATAACAGGAAGGGCTGTTGATTTGGGCTGAAATTTGTATCAGCAGATCAGAATTTTACAAAACTGACAAAAATTGGTGAATCTCTGTTTCAAGCCTTTTTGATGCATCAGTTAGTTCATTTGTAAATAAACTTACAAATGAATTTAATTTGTGGAGAAAAACATTTTGCGTTGACTTTTCAGCAGCAGAGCTTTCACTTCTGGTTTGCCTCTCGTTAAAGACCCGTGCTTCTGGACGCTGTGCCTCAGCGACATGCGCTGGTTGAGGAATCAAGTGGTGGCACCACTGACGGAAGAGTTGGTGTTCAGAGCCTGCATGTTGCCCATGCTGGTGCCGTGTGCCGGTCCTTCCACTGCCATCTTCACCTGCCCTCTGTTTTTTGGAGTGGGTGAGTAAAACTCAGCAGCAAACTCTGGGCAAGCATGAGGGGGAATCGCACACGACACATAATTCTTTTTTTTGCAAAGGTGAAAGGTGAAAGTGAAAGGTGGTGAATAGGATGGTGGTGAAAGGTGAAAGTGAAAGGTGGTGAATAGGATCCGCGTTGAGGTGAACTCCATAGATGCAACCACGGAGCCACGGATAGGAAATACTTTCTTCATTCAAGTCACTTTCCACAGGAGCTCAAGAAACCAAATGTAGATACAACAACAATGAGTAACTATAAAAAATAAAAAAAGAAATTTCTTCTCCACCAGAAGAGGGAATCTAAGCCAGTCAGGGTTTAGATTCCCCCATAACAGGACACAATTTTCTTGCACACCACAAGTGAATAAATCATGAAACAGTAAAACAATATAAATTATTTAGACTTAACTTCTTTGCTGTTAATGTTACATTTATTCATTGTTTATGTTATGTTTGTGTATGTCTTTTATATGAATGTTTATGCTTTCAATGCTGCAAACCAATTTTTCTACAAGGAAAAACAAAGCTATCTAGTTAGCTGGCTTCATGGTAAAAGTGTCAAATGATGTAAATTTGAACAACAATAGTTCTAGAATTTGTCTGTTGATATTCTGTTATCTCTGTGCTTTATTTAACACAGTTGATCACAACATACTGAAGAAACAGGCAGGATTGTTTAAGACTGATTCAGGTCTCAAACAGGCGGCAGGGACTACTTTGTGTCATTTGGTAATTAGTAATCTGGGTGTGAGGTTACTAAAGGTCGATTCTCAGGCTGCTGGTTAAACATAGCTCTGACGAGATGCAACTGTATTGACTGTATAGATTTGACACATATTCAGTCAAATTCTAGATTTTAACATTCTTTTGATCTGTAAAGCACACTGGGGCAGAGTGAAGTCTTCACACTCCTCTGCTCTTTAAATTTACAGTCGGCCCTAATGTTCTTATTTCAATGTAAACTTTCCTGTAGTGTCTGTAAATTAACATTTGTTTTATCTATGCAATGCTTTTGGTAGTTCTACATATTAAGGCCATTGTAAGATTAATTATTAAATCCTGTCTCCTTTTTGAGTTTATAATTTAAGGCACTTTGAATTTCCAACTGTTTGCTTCTCTGTAAGCAAACCTGCCTCGGATGAACAGGCTGGCACCACTGAATTACATTTTCCTACGAGACCAAATTAGTATGTTTCCTTTTGTTGTTGTTTTTTGTTTTTTTACCATTTATAAATGAAATCAACATTTGCAAACTGCTCTTTGTATTCCATCAGGTCATCTCTGTAGGAAACAGAAGAGAAGAGTTTATCTGTCAGCAGCTGATTGTTGTATTTTCTGCATTTTAGACCCATCAGCTGGTGTCTCTGGTGTCTGTCATAAATTCTATATTTTTTGCTACAGTTGTAACTGTTCTCTATGGCCTCTATTTCAGCTCATTTTCACCATGTCATAGAGCTGCTGAGGTTCAGACAGGGCACGCTGTCAGGAATTTTCTTCTCAGCAGGTAAGAGGTGACCTCGTTTATACTGATTATTAGCATCACCAAACATAAAGAATAATCTTCTGATGAAATGTTTGCGTTTCTGGTTTGCTGCAGTGTTTCAGTTCTCCTACACAGCAGTGTTTGGAGCTTACACTGCATTCATCTTTATCAGAACAGGTGAGGTCTCATTTATCATTCGTTTACATGCTGGGTGTGAATAAATAAAGGTTTCAAAAAATACAAGTTTCAAAAAATTTTAGAAGTTTGAAAACATGACAAGACAATTCTTCACAAAACAAACACCAACAATGTTCATAAAAAAAGAAAAAGAAGGGCAAGCACAGAAAAAAAAAAAACAATAATCAATTTTTTTTCCACTTCAGAATGGAAAAAAAATAATTATAATTTGTGTAAATTATTATAATAAATTAATCACTCAGTAGCTCTTCAAACAAACAAAAACGTTTTAAAAAATAATGTAGCGGCGCCACTGGACCCTCTGACCAACACCAGCAGGCCAGGCTTAGGAAGTGTTTCTGAATGAAAAAGGTGAATGAAAAATTAAAAAAATTTTATTTAAAGCAGTCTGGTAGAAAACCCAGACAACTAAAAAATTCTGACTTTTGACAACGAGACATAAAAATAATAATATATCAGATGTAGGTATGGTCATTACAGAGTCTTTTTTGTTCAATTATGGCTTGAAATCTGCATTTTTCAATAAATATTTATTTGGCTCAGGGTAAAATATAATCTGAAACACTATTAAAGGTAGGAACATTGAAATACAGTAATGACTCCACAAATTGACATTAACATATGAGAATCTTTAGATTATTTTATAGGATGGATTTTCTATGGATTTGTGTAAATTTACATGCTAGGATGATGAACGTCTTCTCAAGTGTCGACCTACATGGACGGAAGCAGAACAGAGTTTATATTAAATGTCATGGTGGGATTTAAATGTTTATTCAAAGTAAAACAGTGAGTGGCGTTCAGCCTGGCAGACGGCCATGTTTACAAGGGGAAGCACTGCATAGTTACCATGAAGGATGGTGTGTCTTCATGACGTCTTCTTCACTCTGACCTCCCTCTCTCTCTCTCTCTCTCTCTCTCTCTCTATCTCTGTCTTTTCCAGGTCACCTGATTGGTCCGGTTCTCTGTCACTCCTTTTGTAACTACATGGGTTTCCCAGCCATCAGCACTGCACTGGAGCACCCCCAACGCCTCGCCATTTTATCATCCTACTTGATGGGAGTTCTTCTCTTTTTCATGCTGCTCTTTCCTTTAACAAACCCTTCCTACTATGGCGTCCCTACTCCGGTCTGTACCCTCACCTCGTCCCCCAGCTCTCTCTGTTTTTCCTGACCCCCTTTCTCAGCCTACACAGGCATATCTGCTTTTGTCCTGTTGCTGTTTAATATTTAGGCAATCAAGGGTTTGGTATGTTTTAACGGTGAACTGGCGCTGATGTCCTTTACAAATTGACTGGACAGTGCTGACAGGTTTTAGGGGTTATAATGAGCCAAATTTCTAACTAAGCGTTATTTATGGTTTCCTTTATACAAAAGGCGGTCACATCTCAGAATGTGTTGAAACTAAGGTTAATGTTCTGGGGAACGTTCTGTTCCTTCACTGACCTATTAACCGGAACTCAAATTATCTTCATAACTCATGTTTTTTTTATGTGCTTCCACAAACTTTGAGTCAAACTTAGCAAAGGCTTATTTGGGGAAATTTTCCAGTTTTTTATTTTTATTTTTTTTATTATTATTATACAGCTTTCAGGTCTGTGAGGTAATCAGATGCTTTATTTAGCCGTTATCTTGATCCGTTCGGACAACCAAACAAATGGTAATGATCAGGTTTGGCCTTCATCTCTGCTGTATGAGTCGGGTCACAGGAGGATCTAAAGCAGGTCCAGGTTTTGTTGGCTGATCCAGAATTTATGCTACTTGTTAGGAGCTACACTTTCCCTTTTGACTGCAATCTGACATCTTCAGCAGGGTTTCTGTTATCTCTGGCTGTGTGAACCTTCTGGAAGAATCAGTACTGCTGTAGCTGCACTGAAGTACAGGAACAGAAATGTTGTCATTGATAGAATATGCTGCAAGATATCTAGTTTATTTTTATATTCATGGTTTGATTTTTAGCATCACGTTTTTTTTTTTTTCCACTTTGTTTTTAAAGTGAAGGTTCAATCTTTAATATGTCCTACGTTTAGTCATACTCAGTAAATGTTAGTATCATTGAAGAGTTCATTTATTTCAATAACTCAATTGGAGGAAGCGCATTACATAAATTACATACAGTTTTGAACCTTTCATTTCATTTAATTATGATTATATTTCACTTACAGTTAATGAAAACATGACATTTAATATTGGAATAGTTCATTGGATCAATTAAAGTTAATTTTAATACAGAAATCTGAGCTGTGAAACTTTTACAAATAAAAAGCTAGTCTTTTTTAAAGTTGTAAAAGCTGTCACCATGCTATGACAGTACAGTATGAGACAGATAATCTGTGAAAAGATTATCTCTGTCACCTCCTCCCGGTGCTTCTATTGCCATCAGAAGAAATGCACCAAAAATAATTGGGCAGAGTCAGGAGGCGGGGCTTAGTGCTCTCAGTCCAGCTCGAGTTTGCGCTGCTAAATGTACAGGAAATCAACTTAGTAGCAGAGAGCATAAGACAGTGGGGGAATGAGCGATGTGTATATGAGCGTAAATAACAGCGCTAAGACCCTCCTCCTGGCTCTGATTGGCTGTGTCTCATTAGCGCTGGAAGAAGGCAGAGGAGTTAGATTTGTTTTCTTTTCACAGATTATTTGACTCATGTTGTCCCAAGATGGTAACAGTTTCTATAAATATAACTCAGAAGTCACATACTGCATCTTTAACGTCTGCTTCGAGGTTCAAAAGGTACTCATGACTGTACAGTTACCTGACTATATGTATTTTAGGTGGCAGTAGTTGAGTCATTTTGCTGATGAACATGGATGATAGAATGGTTCCAGTTGTTTCTCTCTGCATGTTTCGCCTTTAGACACATTCAGTAGCTAAGCTAGTTATCTCCATGCACAGCAAGTTCGTCACATAGTTTCAGAATCTCTGCTTTTTCTTTTTGTCTGATTTTCATTTGCAATAATAGAATTCTATTCATCTTCATATTTTCTATCACCAGAAGTTGGTACTGCTCATAAAGTGTGTCATGCTTAAGATAGGATACTTAGAAGTTTGGTAAAGCTTCAACTAAATATTTATTTTATTCTTTTCAAGCATCTTGTTAAATGTTCCAAAACAGTCAATTTATTGACAATAAGTATGCACATTTAACAGGTTTTACTCTGGTACTTTGGGGGTTTTGTGGTGCATTGCTAATATTAAAATGATTTAATGGCTTGGGAGATTCAAATATTTGCACTCTTCAGTTGGCACTGAAGAGTGCAAATATTTTTGTGGTAATGGTTGTTCCTTCTAGATAGAAAATTTAATGTGAATGTCCCACAACCTTTCCCTTTATTAAAATCCGTGAAACAATCCTATAGAAGCCAATTGGGGGAAGAAAGGCAGTTACTAATTCAAGAGTGCAGCATTGCTATGTCTGCTATATTTGTGCAGCCGAAAGCAGCAAAGTTTCCCTTCAAATATCTCTAGACAGTATCCAGTGCTGGTTGGTTGAATGTTAGAGGCCCAGAGCAGTTTGTGAAACATGAGAACAACTTCATCTGATCATTAGAACATGATCAGCAAGTTCTCAACCCAGGATAACACCTTAACATTACCTTTCAACTTCAACAAGTTATTTTTGACTGCTAGCAACACAGACTGGTGGAAACAGAGAAGTGCAAGACTGAATTTACGGATCTGAAGTAACTTCATCCAAACTCATGTGAATACGAACACGTGTGAGCTCACAGTGTAAACATTTTAGATGGTTGAATTCCAATGAAAACTTCTCAATGAGTTAGAAACATTGTCCAATAAAATGTTGAAGGTGTAATCGTCTCAACACATTCTGCAAGTCCACTGGTCGTGAACTGAGCTCAGTTCTTAAACTATAATCACTCATTAACGCCGACTAACAACAACTCAGACAACTGCAAGTGGAAAAAATAAATGTCTTTTGTGTTCCTCAGAGAACGTGCTAGTACTCGGTAGAAACCAGTGGCATTTCAGTCCAACCAATATGGCAGCGAAACTTGAACAGTGTGTTGTTTGGACGGGTTTGTCCACTTTTGTATTAACAATAAAAGTAGAAGTTGTGTTTCAAACTGATGGTGCATTTTGGCACATCAGATTGAGCAGTTTGGTGGTCCGCCACTGGTTTGTAGCTCAGTCGATAGGCTTGAGCAAATTTGATGTGGTTAAGGGCAAAAACAAACCAGAACAAAAGCTATAATTAAGAAATTTGTGTGAATGCGGACGCGTGTGTGTGCCCAGTCTTGCCTCAATAATATCTTTGCACTGTCTTGTAGAACATCAGCTGCATCAGTCGATCACTTCAGCAAGACCTTACGCTTGGCAATATTTGAAATTAGGCAGCTGGGAGGCAGGACATTTCTAAGAAGATTGATGTTTATGATCAATAAATTGATTGCGTAACAGAATTATTTTTACTCAATCATGTGTTATGAGTCATGTTGTGGCTTGAAGTACTGTGAGGGCATTGTTCAGGCAGTGAGTTCAGGTAAAGGACGGATGAAGTGCCAGACCTAATTTGTGCTTTGGCAGCTAATTGAAACAAAGGCTCTGCAAATTCATGGAGGGTCAAAGGTTTACATCTACTGCACTGGGAATGAATCATTTCAGGGCACACAGACAAAGAACCCCCCTGACTCTCGTATGGAATTCTAAATATTGAGAGAGAGAAGAAAACAGTCTGCTCTGATGTTTAACATATATTCCAAACTTGGTGTTCTAATACCTAATCTAATCTAATACCAGAAATGCCACATTAAGCTGCCATGGTTACAGCAACCAGTAGCTGAGTGTGCTAAGTTTACAATACACACACAACACACACCCTGAACTTTGATTGGCTGAACGAAGCCCAACCACAGCTGATTGGTTAGATTTACTGTCACTCACCACAACAGCCCATGTTGAACAATCTACCAGTTGGATTTTGGTTCAGTTGAATTATTTGGAGGCAATCCTCCATCTTCATCATTCCACTCAGTGATCGCGAACAATTTGACGCTCAACATAATCCTACCACCACCGTGCTTGACAGACGGGACAGTCGTGCTGCTACGTTTGAAAGACTGGCATCAACGTCTTACAGCAACTCGGTCTTTGTCTCACCTGAATGAAAAACATTTCTCTAGAAGATATTTAGATTTTCTATGTGGGCAGTTGCAAGTTTTAGCCCAAAGTGACGTCTGCTTTGGAACAGTGGCTTCTTTCTTTGGGGGCGCCATGTCAGAAATGTGTTGTGGTTCTGGATTGGAAAAAGCAGGTTGAAGGTTTGATTTTGAAGTATTCTGCGAAGTTATTATTGTTAATGGTAGTCAGGCATGGTGTCAAATACCAGTGAGCTTGTTGAGCAGTACAAGCATCCTTGGAGGGAAAGCTTACGAGTTGGAGATATGCTGCATCAAAGCATGTTTTACTTCACAAAACAGCAATAAGCACAACAGTTCTATCATGTGAAGTGTAGACTAATAATGCAACGCTAACACCAACACACACTAACGATGTAACATTTTTAGCTTGAGAGTTAAATTGTTAATCAGCTAAAACAAATGATGTACATATGCTGAGCTCACAGATACCACAGCTAACATTTTAATGTCAATAGTTTTTTTTTAGAGGTAGAGAAAATATTGACAATAACTTCACAGAATCTCACTTCAAAAACGCCAAACCAACCCTTTAACCCCCAGCCCTTGCATACGTTTCCTATGCTCTTTTTCTACGTTTTCTATACTCTTCTATGTAATAAGTCACAAATAACTGTTTGACATTAGAATAATTTAAAAGTTTCTACAGATCTTTTTTCTGATGAATCTTATGTGATGAGTTCCAGGTCTTTGACATTCGAAGGTTTACCTGCCATCAGCCTCATCATTAGCTGTCTGATTTAGGTCTCACCTTTCTGGGTCACTTCAGAGTGTTAGTAGCGCCAGTCAGAAGACACATTCTTGTAAAATAAAGAGAGCTTTAAATCTTATTGCTGCTGTATGTAACTGTAATACCTTTTGTTTTTTGTTTTTTACATATTTGTTGGAAAAGTCACTATGTTGAGAGAGTATGGTATGTGAAGAAGTTGAGGTCCTCTGCATCCTCTCGATGCTAACTAGAAGCAGCTGATCAGAGACAGGTGGAGGGTCTTATGGTGCGTTCACACCAAACGCATTACATGCGCCAAAAATGCATCCAATGCTTCAAGTTCAAGGCATGTGCACTTTAAATGCAAACGATGGTGCGTTTGCATCAAACACGTTTTGCGCGTTGGTTTACACTCAGGGGCTACACTCAGGGGCTATGTGGACAAGGGCTAGCATGGCAAGAGCGTCAAAATCGCTCTAGCCGTGGTTTTCTGTTGCCGGCCTATTTGTTGGACGTGTCAAACACTTAAAACACTCCAAAGACGATGCAACGTGTCCTGGACCCGCCTCGACTTTGACTGTAATCCAACGCGCAAAACGAGTTTGGTGCGAACGCACCATTAACGCTGTCAGTTATGCCTTTTTGCCTGCTGCAGTGCAGCTTCTCCTTGTTAGCAGAGCGTGTCATGAATGCTAGAGCTAGTTAAGTTGGTCACCGATGACGGCGGACAAATGGTTTTCCCATAATGCTAAGTTCTTTCTCCACCATTAGTTAGTTTTGCAATGCTCTTCTTAGATTGATTGACAGCACTAAGTCCCTCCTCCTGGCTCTGATTGGTGGTTTTCTGTTGGTCCATTCCTTCAGATGGCATTAACAGCTAAGGGAGGAGATCAATTTATTTTTCTTTCACAGATTATCTGTCCTTTTCTTCCACATTATGGAAGCTTAAACAAATATGTATAAAACAGTTTTTATAAGTTACACACTGCAGCTTCAAAACATCTTCAGATACGAGTCATTTTGGGTTTAACTATACGAGCATGTATGTAAAATTGACTCTGTTGATGAGAAGTAGTCAATAGATCCTAATTTGTCGCGTAATAGCTCCAAATCAAACTGGTTTGTTGAATGTAGCGCACGCCGAGTTTTAAAAACATGGTTAGCAGAAACTTCTGACCGTACTGTTGCTCCGTAGTCGATCCTTATGCAGAAAATTACTTTGTTTGGAGGCTAATTTGAGTGAAACTTTAGAAACGCAGATACATGACGCAGACATTATCACTTTTCTGTGGATGTAATAATGTCAGTTCATAGATGTACAGAAATATTAGCGAAAGTCTTGTTTTCACCAGATTCACCCTGTACAATGACCCACTAAAGCTTCTGCAAACTACTTCTGTTAGGAAGTGGACAATATCAGGAACTTCCCTGCAACTCAGGCCTCTTTTCTAGAACCTGGCCCTGTCTGGTGAGCAGCTCCCCCTCCCTTCAGTGCCCCTCCGCTACTATAAAACATAGCCATCTTTTGTGCGATTCTACTAAATATATGAGCCACTGTGTCAGTTTCATACATGTCCTCTGACTACAAAAAAAATCATGACATTGTCTGCTGATCTCACTGAAGCACTTGGTTGGATTTTTGTCGACTGTTGTAGAAAATGAAATGTCACCTGCTAATTATTTTTGAGAATCTGCTGCTAAAAATGTGGAAGAGGCAACGAAAAAAAAAAGTGATGACGTTCTACACAAACTGCAGCTATATTGCATCTCACTATTTTCATATAGAAGACCAAGAGGAAGAAAAATGAAATATATTAATTTTCAAGACGTTTAAAAATAAATAAATGAGACGCTTGGTAAAAGGAATTCAGAGGTGTTTTTAACGAGGACTATGTTTTGTAATCAGATCTATTTTGATGACAATCTGTACAGATATGTGCATGTATTTTATGCTGACTTGGTTCTTTTTGCACAGTTCAAGTTTGGGACTGTAGAACAACATTTGAATATGACAATCTTTTTGTGAGGCATTTGAAGTCACATTTGTAAATAAATGTCTTTTTTATACAGCTGACTGTCATGGTCATTTTTACACATTTCTCCTAATATTTTGACACGTAATGAACAGTTTCTCTACATTTTGAAGAAACAACAGGTTCTCTCTGTAATCCAGGCCCACAGTTTTCCTCCACCTCCACTCATTTAATCTTAGAGCTACATGACATGTTATTCCAGGCCCAGTAAATGAACTGAGCACTTTGTGATGGGAGCTACTGACCAACCTATGAACACTGAGCTAAACCCAAATGGTTCTGTGCTTTAAACAAGGGAAGAACTGAACATCATTAGTGTTGCTCTCTCTCCCTCTTTGATTTTCTTCAAATGTTTATAACATAGAAAATATGTTTTGTGACAGAAAGAGAAGGACATAAAAAAAAAAAAAACATACACACAAAAAAAAAACTTGTATCTGAACAACCAAAAACTGTTTTTGTTAGTGTGTGTCATAGATTTATGGGATGGATTAAATGATGAGTTCAAAAAAAGACAAATGTAAACCAGATTAAAAAAGAGGAGCTTATATGTTGTACAAGGTGTGTTTCAAAGACCAAAAATTTAAAATGCATAAATAATTGTACATTTAAGGAGGAGAAAGTGAGATTTAAGTGTCATGTAAGGTTAAAATAATAGAAGTTTATCTGGTGTTTGGAGAAAAAGTTTAAACATTTATAGTCGATGAGACTGAGATGGGCAGGAACTCATAAGATCTGGTATCTTCTACTTGTAGAAAGATACCAAAATTTAAATCCTAGCTTTTTGGTAAAATAATCAATGATTCAAAGCTTTCACCTTTAAGTCCTGAACAATAAAACACAGAATGTTTTTTTAAAAAACAATTGCATGCCAATTGTTTTTAATAAAAAAAATGTTTTCTTATTTTTACTTTGCATTTGTTCAAAATAAATGAATAGTTGCTGTGTTTAGAACGCACTGCTGAGCATCCATAACACTCTTAGCTGTAGAAGTGTGGAGAGATTGGCAAGGAATGTGTGAGTCGGCAGTGGCGGGGAAAAGAAGCGGCGCGTTAAGCTACTCATCAACTGATATGTCTCAGTAGCACATATAGCCTCCCTCTGCAGGGTAAAACACACACTGAACAATTCTGACAATTCAGAATTTCACTGTGTAGAAGCAGAGTGAAGGAATCGTGAGGGCAAATGTGGACGATCACCAGAGTCACCCAGACAAGAACTTTTGGGGACAAAAGACGTGGCAGTTTACATTTGTGCTTTACCTGCTGTTACTGTTTCTGTTTGACTTTATCTAGTCATTCCATCGTTTTTGTAAGTTTTTTTTTTTTTTTTTTTTTTTGATGTATGTCAATATCTCACTAGTGAGATATTTTGAAGTTTAATGCGTTTTCCACTAGGATACAAAGGCACTGCAAACCTTTGTGAAAAATGCAAAACGGGACCAACATGAGCGCTCCACCTCTTCCCATCACTTCTAGGACTTAAACAGAAACTTTCTGTAAGCAACGAAAGAAAGAAACAATATATCCAAACTATTTGGAAAGCTTTTTAATTATTTTCATGGGATAATAAAATCATTTGATAGTTTTGATGGTGACTTCTTTTTTTTTGTTGGTGGTCTGGTTAATAAAAGGCGATTTTCACCCACAGTTCCAGCTCAGCAAACAAACATGAATACAGAGTAATAAATGGATTTTCAGTTTTATGAATCAAAGACTTAAGAATATATAAATACATTTTCAACGAGGTTCTTTAAAGTTATTTGCTATAAATAATAATAAAAAATATTTAGTGTGAGGGAACACAATTCTTCTGTGAGGAAACTCCAAGGGAAAAAACACTTTCTTGTTCCGTAGAAACTGATGCCTAGTGACAAATATCCCGACTGGGCAGCAGGGGCCCGATGGGCAGCAGGGTCTGACTGGGCAGCAGGGGCCCGATGGGGCAGCAGGGTCCCGACTGGGCAGCAGGGGCCCGATGGGGCAGCAGGGGTCTGACTGGGCAGCAGGGTCCTGAATGGGACCCATCCAGTCTGTGCTGTGGCTTCTGCCAAAGGTCAATCTGCTAAATTTTACGATATCATGAGGTTTCTTTTCTTTTGTCCAAAAAGTTAAATTTTGTTGATCACGATTGATTTGTAAAGGCAATAAAAATGAGGTCAAACATTTAATGGGTGAGTACATTTTTATGGACTCTGCAAATCTGAAAGAATATAAACACTGTATATCAAATGGCTGTTTCTCTTCAGCAGGGGGGTAAGCTTCACATCACGTGATTTTATTTTTCTTGATGTCGTCCCATTCGCCTCCCTGTTTGTTTAGCTCTTGTTTTCGATGTGAACTTCTCCAGCTGTGGCTAATCACAGTTTCGTCTTTTTCGGGATGGCGTTTTCATCCGGCCCGACTGTTCTGGTGCAGAAATATGTGCAGATTTTAGGCAAAGTTTCTTCGGGCTATTATTGCTAAACTCAGATCCGTTAAAAGAATCCTAAAAATAAACCGGCGCTGAGAAATAGCTGCTCCCATGTGGTTTGATACAAACAATCAGTTACACTATGTCCCTTAAAATTCTTCTTGTTTGACTCACTCACTTTCCGTGAGAGGACTGGGGGGGTTTGTTCATCCAAACCCCCCCAGTTCCCTCAGCACCACATCGGCCCCCTCCCCTTCTCGTCTGCCCTCTCTCTGATGGTCTAACCCCAAACTTCCTGTTTTATTTGGGGAAGGGCACGACTGGAGCATGAGAACACTTTTGGTTGAACACAGAGGAGTAACACATAGAGGGCCAATATATTAAACAACTCATTATTCAATGACGCTCTGTTAAAGAGAAATATTTTTTATATTGACTCGTATTGGTTCTAATATTCCAGTCCATAACTGCAGAATGTGTTGCTTCTGCCTAAAATACCAGCAAGTTGCCAAGTGGATAAAAGACAGTAGAACATTGTGATTGCCTCTCTGCACAGGAGCAAAGGTGTAAAAGTCTCTAAAAGTAATAATAAAAACCAGAAAAAGGTTTGAAATGAAAACAGAATTTTAGATTTTCAGTTGGTTGTGTCTTTTATGCGAAGAAAAAAAAAACTGACAATTTCGTCTGACTTTTAAAATATCCGACAAATCCCAGAGAATGATGATGAACGGCTTTGAGAAGAAGCACACATTATGAAGAGACCATTAAAGCTGCTGGAAACATGACAGCTTGTGAGCCTCTGAGTGCACTGCAGAGGTTCGAACTGATTAAGAGTTACATGATACCACTTTTTTTTGTCAGAGCAGTTATTTTCATTTAATTTTTTAAATTTTTTATTTTGTTTTACTTGTGCTAATGATCTTTATTCATTGATGAACATGGAGAATGCGTGCATCCTGGGAATCAAATAGGGGATCGCTGTGCTGAGGACCGCTGCCTCTAACAGCTCCACCACTCTGCCATGTGGCCCCTTTTAATGTCTGTTTTTGCACATTAGTGTATGATATTTTTTAGTTCCTCTTATTTGCCTCTAAATTGATTTGTTAAAGAAACAAACCTGCATCCAGTTTAGAGGCACACATAGTCCACATCTTCAACTGAAAGGAAAAACAATCCAACAACTTTTCCACAGTGACAATAATAGCTGTGTGTGTGTATGCGTGTGTGTGTGTGTGTGTGTGGGGGTGTGTGTGTGTGTGTGTGTGTGTGTGTGTGTGTGTGTGTGTGTGTGTGTGTTGTGTGTGTGTGTGTGTGTGTGTGTGAGAGAGAGACACAGAGATGGGGTCTCTTTCTAACTTCCCACAGTAGCATACAGCAAAAGTGTACATGTGTCTGTGTCCTTATGAGGACATAATGTTCTAACAGAGACAAATCAGCCAACATGGTGAGAGGCAGAAGTCTAAATATGATCACAAGTGAAATTTAAGTAAAACAATGTTGAATTAAAATCAAAAGAAGATTGAATATTCAATAACCCACAGTGATGGGTGCATTCAGGAAGAATTTCCTGTAGCTGTCTGTCTTAAAGCAGTCCTGACAAAGCCTCTGACTGAAGATCCTTCATTGGGTTCAGTTTCAATTCAGTTTATTTGTACCACGTCGATTCACAACAAACGTCGTCTCAGGGCACTTAGCAAAAAATCATTTCAATTCAATAACATATATTCCAATTGTGCAATGCGATGGACTGTTGACCTCTCCAGGGTGACCTCTCCAGGGTGACCCCGTCTGTCACCCACAAACAGCTGAACACCAGCGCCAGTCTCTTCCACCCCCCGCACCAAGAGCCCAGCATACATGTAACTAAAGCAGGGATTTGTTTTTCTGCATTTCTATTTTAGACACCAGGTTTCCTGGTTTTGAAAAACAGTGCACCCTTCCAATTGGCGGGTTAGTTTTTGTGGATTCACAAATTTTTCTGTGGACATTAACTCCAAATTATGGAGTCTGACATTGAACATTACAATATTGTACATATTATAATAGGTAGTGGAATATAACGTCTTGAATGACATAAAATCTTGACATCGATACGATAGTAGTCTCATGGTTAGCCATGTCTCAGTTCCAGTGAAAGCTGTCCTGATGTTTAATGCTGTGCAATGTCTCCTTTTTGTGTGTTTTGGTCTTAATGTTTGTCATTCTTAAAAGAGAAGTCTTGATCTCAGTTATTTTTCCCTGGTTGAATAAATGATCCATACATATCTGAAACTTCACTGTTTTCCACTTTAATGACTTGATTTTGTTTTCTTGGTTCAGTCAAAGGTTTTCTTTGGGCCATTTCAACACTTTATGGAATGAGTCCATGAATCGTTGAAATGGATTCATTAAATTCTTGACCTCAAATTTACCTTGAATTTAAATTTCTTGAGGCAAATGATCTGTTTCAAATTTTGTGCCAAGCGTTTCGGACAGATGATTATTTGTGTTGCACAACACTCTCACTGCCGCTATTGAGTTCTGAACAGGAGCTAAGTGCTATTGGCTCTTGTTAATAAAACTAAATGACCTATGCCCCCCCACCCCTGATATGGCCACTTTTACATTCTGTTCAGGACATTGACTGATGAAAATGTATGGAATACCACATTCTTTTTATTGATGTCAGATCTCACAGCTAACGTGGAAACAAAGTCTATAAATGGCTGGGCAAAGTGAAAGTTCAATTATTAAATGGATTGAAGTCAAGTCCTGATCTAAAAACTGGAACATGCACATGTTTTTGAAGTGTTTTTGTGAGCCTGTTGTTTTATCATTTATACTTTTATCACTAAATTGAATATATTTTTTTACAGATTTTTGTGTACTTTTTGTCCAGGTCAAAAAGTAGCTGAACTCAAGCTACTTTTCTGTAGCTTCACTTTCGAAACTACAGAAAAGTGCTAATTATAGAGGCACAACTAATTAATACCACTGTACTAGTAGTACTTACCTACATTTCATTTTATGAAGATTTTACTTGATTGTTCGATTGTCTATTAGTTATTCTATTGTCAGAATAACTAATAGACTATGCGGTTACTTCAGTAACCATTAACAGCAGCCCTACTCTGCACTGACCTTGAAAACTTTCTCTATTTTTCCAGCCAGCTTAAGAGAAACAGATCAGCTGGAATCTGAGGATATTTATTTATTCACCAGCAAACTCTACATCACTTTCTACGTCTACTGAAGCTTGCCTCATGGGTGGCAACTGAGAATGGAAACTGATGGACAACCTACCATCTGAAGTCAACTGGAAATGGCTCATTAAACTAACATGCATGTCTTCTAACTGTGAGAGGCAGCTGAAGAAAACACAAGAAGTCCAAGAATCAGACTCCTTGTGTGTATTTCCTATGAGAGAAGTTAATCTCACTTACCATGACTTACACAAGTATTCATATGGGTGAACTTGCATATGAATTACTGGGTATTTATTGGGATTTTATCCAATAAACCTAAACAAAGTAGTCAAGTATTGTGAACTCACAAAGGCAGAGACTTGAATTTTAATCAAGGACTTGACTGCAAAAGAGTTACACTGAAGGAAGAATGCTTGTTAGCATGACTAAAGGTAAAAAAGACTTGAGCTCAGGCATGATCAGAAATCCAGAAGAAGCAGAAGATAGCCGCTGCATTTATGGAAGGAATTCATTCTTATTGCAGAGTAAGTGTATCGGAGTAAATCTCTTGCATTTACATGTTGCAATCGAAGATGTTGGTGCGCGTGTATGCGTGGTCGTGTGCTTGTACAGGCAAATAGTTGAAGAATAAATGTATCCATGAACAGGGTTTATGAAAACCATATGACATACTCTCCAAAAGAAAGCATTCCATCGTTTGCTGCTCCTCCTCCCCACTCTAGCACAAAGTCACACCGTGCAATCCATCTCACTCCCCCCAGCACACATAAACACACATCCACATATCCCACCCTACCCCACAGAGACACCACTTGAACTTCTTTCAAAAATAAATCATTTTTGCCTCAATTTCCCTCCTCTATCCTCTCTTGCCCAGCCTCTCTCAGTCAACGGTCCCAGCCCCCTTTCCTATTATTCCCTCCCTTTGTGCTTTCTGTAATCGTGGGACAGTTTGCATGATCCCAGTGCCTGTGAAGATAAGCTTAAGCACAGCAGAGTAAAGAGTACATGCAGTCTGGACAAAAAAAAAAAAAAAAAAAAAGTCAAGTCAGAGACTGATGTACACTGGAAGAAGATATCCACAGGAGAAAAATAATGGGGTTTCTGTTCTTTAGTTATGCTATTTTTCTCTTGTCTTCTGTGCTGTATTCACTCTTTGGATTTTCTTCAGTCCTGAGCCAGGACCTGAGAGAGAGAGACGCACTTTGTAATGCAGAAGGCTGCTTTGTGATTTACTTTGAACGTAAAATCTTCCTAGACTCATGGAGGTCCTGCAAAGAGAAAGGTGGAAATTTGGTTACCATCAAGCGCAAAGAGGAGGCCAACGCTATTGCCACCCTTTTCTCCACTGTGGACTTGCGGTCGTCACGTACCAAGGTCAAAGTCTGGATTGGCTTGCAACGTCAGCCTCGTCAGTGCAACGCAAATTCACTGAGGGGTTTCTCTTGGACAACTGGCGATCAAGACACAGAGTATACCAACTGGCAAACAGAGGACTCTCCTGATATGTGTTTGGTTTCTCTCTGCGTGTCTTTTGACTACGACTCACTACAACACAGTGATAACTTCAAATGGATTCATGGTCCATGCTCTGTCCCTGCTGATGGATATCTTTGCCACTTTGCTTACAACGGAATGTGTTCGCCCTTGTCAAGTGAGGGTTCGGGAGTTGTCCTTTACACGACACCTTTTAACCTGCTGAGCACAACCTTAACCCATCTACCAGTCGGATCTGTTGCTAATTTACAATGCCTTACAAATGCCAATCAGAAAGTTCAGTGTGTGCAGAGGACAAATGATGGTTCAGTAGGATGGTCTCCTGAACCACCTTTTTGCTCAAATCCCTCAATTTCACACCAGTTGTGTGAGCGAGATAACGGTGGATGTGAACATTTCTGCACACAAGCCGGCGGTCTGATTTCCTGTGACTGTGCAAAAGGTTTTCATCTCAGATATGACGGACAGACCTGCGAGCCTGATGTTTGTCAAGGAGCCCCCTGTGAATCTGAGTGCTTGCCTCTTTCAGACGGCTACCGCTGTGCCTGCCCTGATGGATACATGCTTGCACCAGATGAACATGCTTGTCTAGACGTGGATGAGTGTCTTCAGGCTCCTTGTCAGCAGAGATGTACAAATTCGCCCGGGACATTTGAATGTCAGTGTCTGGAGGGTTATGTCGTCAATGAAATGGGGGACTGTGAGGATATAGATGAGTGCTTGGATAACGTATGCCAACATGCTTGTGAAAACATACCAGGCTCCTATACCTGCCACTGTCTTCTGGGTTTTTCAGTTGATAGAGAAGACCCCACACAATGCTTAGATGATGATGAGTGTCAGATTCCTGGGATGTGTGAGCAGATGTGTGTGAATTATGTGGGAGGTTTTCAGTGCTTCTGTAAGGATGGCTATGAACTTTCGTCTGATCAATCAACATGTCAGAAAATAAGGAACAATCAGGTTAGATCTACCCCTCTCCCCTTTCCTCATGTTGGACAGATTGAACTTGGATGGAATCCTGTTTTGTCCCCCTGGAGCCCAGAGCCAACCACCGATCACTGGCCAGAAAATCAGGAGCAACCTCTGGACTGGCTGACCAGTCCATCAACAGTCTCCAAACCTGAGGAAATGTGGGACACCAGTGCCTCCCAGGACAAACCCAGGACTAGCTTAAGCGCTGTGGATGACTTGTATGAAAATGATGAACAGGAAACTACTACAACTATACCATCCCTTCCCACATCTACAATCTCAGAAGGAGCTTGGAATTGGTGGCCATCGTTTTCTTCTTCCACTCAAAGTTTGGACAATCCACATACAGCTTCAGACATAAAAAAAGAAGCAGAGCAGGAAAAGTTCTCTCCACGTGATCACCCCCAGCTCCCTGGGCAGGAGGCTGGGAAGGAGGGAAAGAATTATGAGGAAATTACACACTCTCCAGACCCTGCCGTTCCCACACTGAAGCCACTCCCCCCATTCCTGAATGGGGGTGGTGGAGATGGGGACAATCTGGATTCTGTCCAAGATGACAGGGAGCATAAACAGAGCAACACTGGGCTCCTGGTCGGCCTGCTTGTGCCCATCTGCATCTTCATCGTGGTGATGGTGGCACTGAGTATTTTCTACTGCACTCATTGTGGCGTAAAGCCAAGAAACAAGAATGCCACTGGCACCGAGTGCTACCACTGGATATCTGGTGCGCATGACAAACAGGGGGCACCTGGCCCCCCAGGGGACAAGGCCACCGTTTAGATCATGAAGACAGAAACTGAGATTTAAACCGAGAGACAAGTAGTCATAGACAATGAAAACCAAGTGGTTGAACATTTTAAGTCTGTGACTGTGGAAATGAAAACTTTTTGATTCTATTGCTTTACTTAAAAACATATGATGAAGTAACAAAAACAGTGACAGTGTTTAGTACATTTCTGATTGCCAAAACAGTGAGACGTATTAGGATTTCAAAAGATAATTAAGAACATTTCTATTATAACAACTTTTTTTATTATTATAATTTAAATGGGACAGTTCATATTAATGCAGTCGGAAAACCTATTTTAAGATCCTTACATCAAAAAAATATATATTTTTTAATATTTACAAAACTGTCACGAGGTAACTAAAACAACATTTCTTTTTGCATTTTAATACAAGCACTTATAAGCGCTGAGATCTGAAAATAGTGACTTAGTATTATTTTATCTTTCTGAGATGCTTGACTTTGCTTGAATTTCTTTCAGTATATGTTTATTTCAAATCGGTATCAAAGACACTGTAAACACTTACAGAAGGATATTTTTCATATGAAGAGCACTTCTTGTTTTGACTTTAAGATGACAATGTTTCAATGGGGTGATATGATACTTGTACTTTACCATTTTTAAGATTTTGTCATTTTGATTCCTTTTTACGATAGTTATTTTGTGAAACTTTGAAATAACTGCAGCTGTACGCAATTTTTTTAAGTGCAGTTTTTTAATGTTGCTGTACATGTTCTGTAACATAAAGATCACTGTAGAGGTAAATATCATTCTAAAATTATCATCGACTCGTTTCAATTTTTTTTCCCCCTTGCTGATAAATTGTGTAAAATATTAGTAATCTTCTCACTGTTCCATGTTGATTGTTGATAATTAGTACAATCAAAATGGTCTGTTGTAAAACTGAGATTTTTGAGCCGCAGTTCAACCTTTCGATAAAGGTACTGTACCAAAAACCCCTGACCATATTTTACTGGGACTCTCTGGTTTAATGCAGTTTTTAGTTTATTTATTCACAACATAATATGCGTTTCAAGGCGTTTTACAAAAAAAAAAAAAAAAAAAAAAAGTAAATTAAATCTAATCATACAGATTCCAATAGAGGAAGAAAGAAAGAACCAGGCTCAGCGTGATGGCATCCTGCCACGGCTCACTGGAGAGAGGACAACACAGAGAGAGCGCGCAAACAGAACGACAAGCCAGATGGAGATTCTGTGAAGAACAAAAACTGGGAGAGAATAAAGGTAAAAATCGAAATAACAGAATATGATACCAAATGGGAGAGGAGGATATAGCCGAGTATGGAAAAGTCGTTAAGACTGCGACTATAACATCAGAACTCCAGAGGAAGTTTAGGAAAACTTAAGCCAGTCGAACTGGAAGCTTTATCGCAAAGGAAAGTTTTAAGCCTAGTCTTAAGAGTATTCAGGGTGTCTGCCTCGCAAACTGATACACTATCTGTCTCACATTCTACGTTTTGAAGTTCTATCAGTAAACCTGCAGTCTGAATGAAGTGATCTGGTAGGAGCGTATGGGGCAATAAGAGCTCTGCTATATGATGGAGCTGGAATCTACACTGTAAACAGAGAAAGGCTAATATTACCAGAGTTATTTTGTTAATCATATTAGTGTCAACGCCACGCTGCTCACAACGGTGAGGTAGTGATGATGAGATATGCATCATGTTGGTGTTAAAATGAAAACAGCAAAACACCAACAGTGATTGAACTATGAAATATATTGATGGATTCCTGGAGCAAACATTTTGCCATATGTAGCTATACGTACATATACATATAGATCAAAGTAATGCAAATGTTATTTCCCTTGAAACATTTTATATCATATATTGAATATTCAGCCTCATCACTACCAGCAATGGATTCTCAAAGTATATTATAAACTGTTGTGTGAATAAATATGAACCTGCAACAGTCCTTTGTGCAGAAGAATAAACTAATAATACCAAAAGTAACAACAACGTCCTGAACCCTGTCACAGTAATAAAACACACGCATGAACTAAAACTGGTTAAAGTTTAATGGCATTCAATAAGATTAGGATACTTTGGGCTCAGCAACATACATATTAATAAATTCAAGACTTGCTTTTATGTTTTACTGTCAGTAGTGGAGACTTCAGTCTTCCTCCAACGGAGTGCAAAGGAAAGAATTTCCACCAATTCTTCTCTTCTGTTAACCTTCTGCTTCGAAATAATACAGAGGATCAGGCTTGGGACTGATGTTAAAGTCTTCAACATGAACACTTGTTGAATCTGTGTGAATCCATCAGGCGGCTTTATGGTTCAGTTCAATGTGGTGCATAAAGATAAACAAGACTATCACTTTTCAGGAGAAAACGAGCATGGTCAGCCACTTGTCAGCATGTATAAATAAGAAAACCTTTTACTAACATTTTACAAGCAATTCTAAAACATACAACTGCAATCAATACTGTCTTAAAATACAAACACGTGGAATGTGATGTCATCAATCTCAATGATCATGCCAGGTTTTTTCTGCTTGTAAGCCAATTCACAAGGTGGAATAAATCTATAAATATATTTTAATTAAATCTGCTATTTCACATGGATATGTCACAAGTAATATATTGTCAAAAATAATTACAGTTAAATGCATACAGTCCAAAAACCCTCAACTTTGATGTTAATGGCCGTATTTCGTGGACTATAGGATCAGGACAAAACCTATAAAACAAGTGACTTTAAGTCCCTGAGAACATTGCTACTGCTCAAAAATGAACCAGGAAACATTAGAAAACATGTTCTGAGATGCTTTATGATTATCTTTAGACATTTTTTCCATATCAGTGTATTTCACTGTCACAAAATGCTCAAAGTAACAGAAAAAGATCACAGGGTTAAAAACTTGTTTCTACTTCATCTTTCATGACTAGTACAGTCAGTGTACTTTAAAGGCGGTTATGGTGCTGGAGAGCACCGGTGACTCTTATATGTACCTAGATGGCGGAAGCAGCGTCCACATTGCTGACAACAGTACGGAGTAGCCCCACTGTGGATCCTCTGGTGGGTGTACAAATTTCCTAGCTCTTTGAAGCATCGGCCACACTCGGGGCAGGCATACGGACTCTCACCGGTGTGCACCCTTTGGTGTCGTTTGAGACCAGAAAGCACAGAGAAACCTTTCCCACACTGCGGACACGGGAAAGGACTCTGGGCGCCGCTGTGCACCAACCTGTGGCTTTTTAATCGGGCGGCGTGGCGAAACCTCTCGCCACATTCTGGACACATGAAAGGTTTTTCTCCAGTGTGGATACGCTGGTGTTGCCTAAGGTTGCCAAGGTAGTTGAAGTGACGGCCGCAGTCCCCGCATTCGTACCCCCCTTCAGTTTTGATCTCCTTCTTCCCAGGTCCTCCTCCTCCAGCGCTCACACCGGAGCTCACTCCTGGACTGCCCTCACTGGTCCCCTTCCCAACGCTGACAGAATCACTGCTGCCATCTTCCCCAGATGATGACTTTTGGGCCCTGGCAGCCGACGCGTCATCAGCATCTGGGTGTATGAGTTTGATGTGATCCTCCAAAAACACGGAGTCGGGGCAAAAGGTTCCACAAAGTGAACAGATGTAGGTGTGGCTGATAAACCGTTGGCCTGAAAAACAAGCAAACATAATTAGGTTAAATATATACTGGGGGGCACGTATGTGACAATAAGCTACTTATTATCCGCTGGACAATAGGAAAAAGACTAGACTGCTGTTCTGTAAGTCTGGGACGTGGAAGGCCAGAGCCGTTTCCAGTTTGGACCCGAGTAAGAGCGGAAGTGGAAAAGAGAGAACCCTTGTTCTGCCCTCATCTTAGAGAAAGCAGAGATACCCTAATGCTAGGTTTCATGGGAACACTTCTGAATGACTATTTAAAGTAAAACTAAATGTTGTATGGCATAAATGGATGTGAAGTTTGCACTTTTATTATTGACATTAGTAACTGCTAAGTCTGTTTTTATGGCTCAATATGAATTCAGATTAATGTAGTTTCACCTTCATCCCAGGTACAGGCATGATTTTTCATTGTGCAGAGCAGAGACCGACGCATGCAGGGCTTATTCTCATCAATTTCCATATGTAAATAAATGAGTACCAGATACGGCTTCAATTTCAGTCACCTCTCTCCTTTGACCTTAATTTGACAGTCATTTCCATACTGTAAGCCGCCGCTTTTTTTCACACCAATGCGGCTAAAAAAAACGTTGTTTTACCAACACACTCGAAAGGCTGGACTGCTGTGAGATGAAGAGGACGGCACAAACTCCGGAGCGAAGTCGAAATGAGACAAAAGTGACATTGAGAGCAACAAATAAAGGGAAACTAAGGAAGAGAGCGTGACTGTTCATTTCCAACACTGAAGAAGATGTGTTTTTTTAAGCACTAGTATCTATTTCAATAGAAGTACAAAGGAAAAAATGTTTGTGTGTAAATATTTAATGTTACAACATGAACACCTGTTGCTTATACTGCAATATTAAGCAAGAATACAGAGCAGTTCCCTTTCCACACCTGGGTCAGTGTGATCAGAAGTAAAACTGATCAGTTTCCTGCCTCTTGGTCAGTTCATCTCTTCTTCTGTCTTAACTCCTTCCTTGCCCCGTACAAACCAATCTTTCACCATTTTCGGTCCAGACGTTTCACATCAAGATCCACTTTTCATCACCGAACCAGGAAGTCAAGCCACTCGCTTCTAATTCTCCAGGCATCTCTCTCGAACATTGCTCCTCTCATTCTTTCCACGCAGAAGCCGCTTCTGCAGCGTCCAGCCGGGTGTACCGGTCCAATACGGCTTTCTCTCACCTCTGTTCTATTAGATTCAGAATCGTTTGAAGACTTGTTGGGGCTCCAGCGTTCAAACTGTTCCAGAGATGATGCTGCTCCACCCCATCTCTAATAAATTAGAGACGTCCAAATAATCTCAAATTGATGATATGCTATCTCTTATTAGTCAGCGATATAATAAGACTGATCAACATGTATAACTTCATCACTTTTTTTCAATCTGCATGCCAGAACTTTTAAGATCTCATAATCAGCACATAACAGACTGACAGGTCTCTAATTCTTGATTTCATAAATGTTCTCCTTGTTATGAACAACAGTGAGCAGAGCTCTGCAACACTTTCCCCTCACTGCACTGTTACTGAAGACGACCGACACAGAGCAGCGTGATTTAGAAAGTTCCACAGGAAAGCCATCTATCCCTGAAGCTTTACCACTTTCCGTGCTCTGCAGCGCCTCATGCAGTTCTTGTAAAGTTAGAGCCTGCTCCAAAAAACTTATTACCTGAGTCTGAAATCCTTGGCAAGTCACTAAGAAACTCTTCTGTCATCAGAATCTTCTCTGAACTCACTGACAGACAACTTTGAAAAAATAAATAAATAAAAAAAATGTCAGTGCATTCTGTAAACTCTATTCCATATTCAGATAGAAAACAACGAATGACAGATTTCATTGCATTATCTTGGATTCATCACTGCTTTTCATGAACAGGCATTTCAGAATTCTCCACTGCTTCCAAAAAAAAAAAAAAAGTCCTCTCTTCAAGCAACAGTAATTTAATAAAACAGCATTAAAGTGCCAAAATGCACTTTTAGGTCTTAATTTGTAAGAACATTTTCTAGGATCATACAATGATCAGAAAAGCCCAGCATACACAAAGTACATGACCTAAATACTTGTAAATGATCGTAACAGTAAAACATGTCTGGTCTTGCTAAAGAAATGTAATTCCCTTTACAATGAGCCCATGAATGCTGCTTTGTTTTTCCATGTTTGGAAGCCTGCTGTGGAATTAGGCCCATGTGAAATTTTCTGCATCCCAAGGTTTAATACAGAAGGACATAATGACAACCTACTATAAATATTTAACTAGGGGTGAGTAATATGAACCAAAATAATTTTTTTCTTTCTTAATTTCCTGATAATAATCCAGTAAAATCACTTTTCCTTTTTTACCATGCTATAATCTGTGATGTACATCCCACCTTTATATTTAAATTAATAAAAACTTCTAAAGGTAAATACAGGGACTGTGGTTGTATGGCAGAGTAGTCGTCTTGCGCTCGGAAGGTTGTAGGTTAGATTCCAGCTTTCTCCACATGTCGATGTGCCTCTGGGCAAGGCACTTAACCTCAAATTGCCTACCGGTCTGCGTATAAATGTGTGTGCGTTTGTGAGTGCGAATGGGTGAATGTGACTCCAGCGTAAAAAGCTTTGAGTTGTCAAAATGACTGGAAAAGCGCAATATCAGACTTTTATTAAGTCTGGGGGAAGATTGTTTTGCTTTTTCACCACTGAAAATTTTCCTAAAATCTTGTAATTTTTTTGGTCATATTACATAACTTGATGAATAATAAAGCAATAAAAAAATATCAAAGACCAGATTTCTCTAGAAAAAGAAAAGGTTGAACACTTTATAAAAGAGCAGAATGAATACCATTATGTCACCACCTGCAAAAACTTGAGAAATGCTAATATCGGGTTGTATAATCCTTAAAAATATCATTTAACAATTTGCGGCGAGCGTCTGTTTCCCACCTGTCTCTGTGTTGTCTTCCAGCGGAGCCCCTTCCGTCCCTGAAGAGCCGTGGGGTTTGGTGGAGCAGTCCGAGAGCTGGACGTGTGAGAAACAGACCTGGGTTTGCTTCTGTCCGCCACCTCCGTCCCTCCTGGACGACTCGTCAGCGTGGTGGTCATCATCCTCAAGCACAGCGGCCCTGGTGTTTTCACATTCAGGCTGCTTCATGTCTAGGAGGAAAGAATGGGAAAAGCCTTATGATGGGCAAGACATCATTCTGTGAAAAAGTATCACGAGTGAGTTCTTCTGTTTTTGCTTTTGTTGTGACACGCAACATGGTGACAATGTTTCGGCTTGTCAAGCTATTTTTAATATACTAGTTTTTCCTGATTTAGAAGAAAACAAATGCAGTTTCTTGGCATCAAAACAACAAGAAATAAGTAAATCTCATAATGATCAATATTTTCAGCAGAAGGAAGATTATTAGTTTTGCTTGCGAAAATATAGACTAATACTAGTTAATAACATTGCAGACTTTATATATTCTACATAAGTTGCATTAAATGCTAGAATTTTTTATTATTTTCCCAATCATCGTTTGTCATTCTGTTTGTTTACCTTTCAGCTCTGAAGAATATGCCGCAGGTGCCATCCATTCATAGTCATACATCCGTTTGCTGCCGATGGGAGGCATGCTGAAGATGTAATCTGAAGTGGAGTCTGGGTCTCCATGCACCGGCCCTGAAGCGTCCACCCTGCTGTCTGACCACAGGCTCAGAGGCTGGATTTCCGGTTCTTCGTCAGCCTCTTTTTCCCCTCTGGCTTGGCTGAGCAGCTCAGAGTCCATTTCGCCACAACCCTTCGAGTTTTTGTCTTTCATCAGGTAGTCACAAATCGCGTCGATATTTTCCCTTTTCACCTCGGGGATAACAGATTTGGCTCGCCTGGGATCGATGCCACCATGCTTGGATCCCAGGTTGAAGGGGAATTTCATGAAGCCAGACTCAGTGGTGGGCTCCAGGGTGGTAAAGCCATCTCTTCCATCCCTCTGAACCACCTCGAGCTTAGCTTTTAACCTTTCGATCTCCTTATTTTTCTCGCGCAGCTCCATTTTCAGGACTTGTATCCGGATACTGACCACTCGTCGGATCTCCGCCTGAGCTGTCTCCAGAACCACGGCGATGTTTCGCTTCAGGTGCTCCGTGATGTCGCTGACCGAGCACAAGAGCTCCTCTTCGCGTTCCAGCTCGAGACAATCCTCGTCAGCTCTGTCTGCTGTCCCGGCGAGGTCCATGAATGCACCGTAGAATTCAGGAGACCGTTTTGTTTCCAGAAAACTGGGGTTTCTTTTGCGACTCATAGATAACCCTCAGCAGCGCTTTTAGCTGAAAGCTAGCCTGCGAGCTAACTCGGTGATGCTGAGCATAGGCTGACGGTAGCTGTGACGTCATTTTTAAATCACAACAACAGTTTTCTTCATGATTAGAAACGTTAGATAAGCATTACCGCCACCTACTGGTATGGAGTGTGGTTCCTGAGCGTTTAATCTCAGGAACCTAAAAGTACACCTTTTTTAGTATGTATATACAGACAATAACTGTAAATTGATAGTCGATTATACTACATACCTTAAAACGTGTGTTAGCAGTTAAAAATGGTTCGATATTTGCTTCAAGAAAGTCATTAGTGTAAATAATGTTTCTTCCTAATTCATTGAAATCTTCTGAAATTTCACATGATATTTTCAAATCTAACCTTTGTATTTACATATTAATTCAAATGAATGACAAATTCGTTACATCTTTATAAAGATATTTCGAAAGGATGGCCTCCCTTTCGTCTGTATCATCACGTGTCAATTTTATTTTTTGTCACAGCTGTTTATTTTTTTATTGGCAGTACTTTTAAATGATAGCAATTAAAGTTAATATTAGACAACAGTCTGGTAAGTTTTGACGTTGATTTAGGGTGTTTGTCAAATAGGTGAGAATAAAGTTATTGTGCTAAAAAAAAACAAGTCGAAACGTTCAAAATAAAATAAGGAATGGTTCTAAAGGGCGATATTTCATCTCTACAATAAGTTATTACATGATAAATCAAATGAAACAGGACGGAGTCTCCTGGAAATGACTGACAAGATTTGTTTTTATCATGTAAATGTTTTCAAATTGAAATGACCGAAGTTGATTCTCTTATTGTGAAGGAGTCAGACAGGAAGTGATTGACCTGTCGAGTCAAAAGAGCTTGCAGAGTTTGTCTTTAGCAGGGAAGCAACTTCTGAGGAACTTTTCACCCAGTGCAAGGAAACCTGCAGACATAAGTAAACAAGGTCAAAGGGTACGAAGAAAACAGAACATTTAATGCGTTTTCTCTGTTTCTTTATCTGACTGTCTGTCTGTCTGTCAGCCCTCTGACTTGAGCTAAACTATTGAAAGGACACGAGCTGAAATAAGGTGTTTATAATGGGTTATTATAAATTCATTTATCCATTAGTCGTTCATTTAAACGGGCATACATTTTCAGTCTGTTCAGAAAGCACACATCATTTTATTAGGGTAGAAACTACATTTAGGACTCAGTAAATAACCATATTGTCTAATGTAATTACAAGTAAGGCTGTGAATGTGTTATAGATCGATAGGATATGTTAAGAATGTGCCTTCAGCATTCATTAGTAAATGATTTATGATGTTCCACAATCATTTCAGTCTGACTTTACATGGACAAAAAAATGCTCAAACAAATTGTAGGATATGCTGTAAAGGCAGAATGAAGCCAAATTCAAAAATAAATGTTAAGGAGAACATGTTCAATGTTGCGATGTGGGATTTTTTTTTTAATGCGCAGCTCAAGCGCATTTGATCAGGTTGAAGTCTGGACTTTGTGTTCTGTTTCAGCTCTTCTGATTCTCTGTTGTGTTTGTCATTCGTTGGCTTGTCGTTCAAACACACGGTATTCCAGCCTCACATTTCACTGATCACCACAAAACAGTCAGTTGATTGGTTGTGTGGGGTCTTTCATTCTCTTCCTCCTTCAATTATTTCACTCCTGGATCCCCTTTACATCAGATCTAATAGACACACACAGATGAATCTAAATGAACACATTTAATACATTATCGCATTTTTATCTCATCTCATTCATTTTTATACTCATCAATTATGTACTTTTATTTTTTTTCCCGAATTGAATAATATTTTGACTTTGCTTAATTTTTCCATCTAGAAAAAAAATTAAGCAAACTGATATGCACATGCTTTTAAGAGTTCTGCAAACACGTCTGCGTTATATTGCATTTCCCTCTCTGTTCTGATATACAACTAGGATACTACTTTAAAGCATATTGTAAATAGTTATGCAGGCCCTAATTTTATGCTAACTATTTTTATGTAAGTTTTATTATTTTGTAGAAGTCAATTCCCAGTTTGACAATAAAAGTTTTTTTGTGTGTATTTTTCCTCATCAAAGTTGTTGGGAAAAAAAAGACACATTTTGTTAATCATTATTGATTTTTAAAAACATTAAAAAGGAGCAAAACATTCCAGAAGGTGACTGACTTTTATAGGCATGGTATGTATGGGAAAAATGACCATACTGACCATGATGTAGGTAAATAAATGAAAGCAGTCAGACATTAAATAGCAATGTTTCAGGGAAAGAAAATAATTGCCTGTTATTGAAAGTTTAACTATCATTTTTAGTAGTTTAATTCTATTCTGTTTTATTAGCCCGCTAATAAAGCATGCTGCTGTTCCTTTGCAGGAGGTGAAGCTCTGAATTCGTCCAGAACATGGAGCAGGTTGTGGCCGACCTCCCCAGCGGTCCGCTTGACGCCTACAGGAACAAAGCCTCCTTCAGCTGGAAGGAGATGCTCCACTTCATTGATGGAGAGGAAATATTACAGTTCAAAGTGAGATCAGATTCTCTGCTGTCAAAGGTTTTCCAAAATAATATTGGATCTGGTTTTTAATTTTCTATCATTGCCTATTTCAGTTTTAAGTGCTTGTAATACTGCAAGATATTACCCCAGCAAGGGAAAGTTTTATATACTAATACATACTCATTTTTTGGGGTTAGAGGGCTGGAGGTGTGGCTCAACAAGAAGTTTAATTTTCAACATCAATACATTTAAAAGTGGATGAAACACGCAATTAAAAAGACAATTTCATACGTCAAAATGAATGTGTTTGTTCTGTTTTATGGTGAAGTTCCATGTATTTTCTCCTCTCATGTCTGGTGCAGCAACACGTGTTCAACAGTTTGGAAAATGATCCCGTGTTTGCCCGTCAGCCTGGAGAGGATGTTTCTGTTGAGAAGAAGAGAGAACTTAACTTCCTCAGGTATTGGTTACTTGTTTGAATTGTTCTGAACATTACACCATCACAAATGCTACATGACGAAACCTATTTAGCATCTGTGAGGTTTTGCTCAATATCTCTTACTGAAAATGGTGCGTGAAGACAGATCTAATGTGAAACATGCAGGGTAAAGCAGCTCTTTCGCTACAACTTCCTGACTAAAGAAGATATGATGGCAAACCCGTGGAAGGTTGTCATCTTGGACGACTGTCTGGGCATGTATGACTGGGCTCTGGTCGCCAAGTATGGCCTTAACAGAGTGGTAAGATCTTTTTGGTTTTCTAGATAGGTTTTGTGATTAAAATGTGATAGTAATTTGTCTGCTTTAGAATTGTTGCTTTTAATAAAAATATTTAGGCTAACCATGCATTATTCTTTGGAATAATGCATGTTCTTCATTTGGTTCTTATGCCTGGCGCCGCTGATGTGAGACTGGTACTGTTCCAAATTTGGAAATTTGGAATAATTTCCTAATCCCTTAAGCTAATGTAGATGTAAATTTTCTATTCTACAGGGTGTTTGGAATCTTCTTTTCAAAACTTGGAAACTTTTAACGTGGTCGTCTGTAGGGACTACACACAAGGCTGTTAAACCTTTTTCTAGCTTGTTTGAATTCCTGGTTCAGATCCTGAACCAGCAAATCTGAGAGGTGTGAAAGGTTGATGCAACAACAGTAGATCTTTAATGCGTTGTGGTGCTAAGCCTGTCAGTAATATATAAACTAACAAAACGATTTTAAAGTCTCTTCTCTCAGTGGAAGGACTGTAAAACTGGATGATGTCCCCATCTTCCTGGTTTTAGTCAGAACACCAGCAGCAGCGTTCTGGTTCAGCTGCAGCTGGAGGATTGGTTTTTAGCCTGACCTGTTAAGACACTATTGTGTCATTTTCTCTCAAATGTTGTGCTTCAAAGTACTTGTCAGAGTAAAATGAGTAACTCTTGAAATCTTGTTTCAGATGTTTGCAGGAACCATCATCGGTTCAGGGTCAGGCAGACATGGCAAATATGTAAAGGACATTGAAGACATGGAAGTAAGTGACAACTTCAAAATGCAAACAGCTTTACTTTTCACTAATTGAACAAGAAACAAAAAAGTGAGTTTTGTTCTTCGCATTGTCCGTTAATGTATGAATCTTTGCATGCAGAAAGAGTGCTAGTTACGTTTAGTGATTTTATTTTGCTCATTTTTATTCTCAGACGTTTGGGTGCTTTGCACTGACTGAGCTCAGCCATGGTAGCAACACTCGAGCCATGAGAACCACAGCCACATATGACCCTTCTTCCCAGGTCAGCATACACAACCACAACACCTTTTCAAATGTGTTTATAGAAATGTTCTATAAATGAGCTAAGGGTTTTGGGTTATGCCTGGAAGGACGGTGATGGTTTGGAGGGTCGGGGTAACTGAGGGCGGTGGGCGGATTTACCCCTCAGCCTCTTCACACTGTGATAAATGTCCACTGAGGGCTGCTGGCCTCATCTCTTCTGGTCTGAAACTCAAACTCAACTGGATTTCACAAATCTATAAGTGCATGTTGGGTCCTGAGTCCCAGACTGCATTATTTAGATATTCTCCTTTACTTATTAACTATAGTAGCTCTATGCAAATGCCTGTGGTGTATGATATGGTAATAGCCAAAAAAGTAATATTAAAATTGTGGAATACTGATAAAGTGCCTCAGTTTAAATTGTGGTTAACTGAACTTACTGAGATACTCTATATAGAGAGATTGTCTGATGAAACCTTGGGCTTTCTGCAGTTTCCCAATGCCCTCTTGGTCTCTGCATTTCACCAGTACATTTATATGTTTGCCCATGTCACCCATAGTATCAGAAACCACCACTGAGGACCAGCATTTGGAATTTGGGTTGACCTCATACCCCATATTCCACTGACAAACAGAACTGACTGCATTGGGCTGAGGCTGCAATGTCATAAATCAGTAGTTATTGTGATGATTTGTATAACACTCTTTTTTATCCTCTGTGTCTGTGCTGCAGGAGTTTGTCATCAATTCTCCAGACTTTGAAGCTGCAAAGTTCTGGGTTGGAAACATGGGAAAGACGGCCACTCATGCTGTCGTATTTGCTCAGCTCTACACACCTGACCAGATGTGCCATGGCCTGCACTCTTTCATTGTTCCTGTAAGGCTCCAATTACGTAAAGTTTGTGTTTGTAATCGGCAATAAAACTTCCCATCCTCACTACTCCAGTGGGACCGTAGACAGCCTACCATCCCAGTCTGGTTTTGGGCATTTAACACCTCTGACTGGAAACTGACCAGCCAGAGTTTGGTGGTGAGGTCAGCAGAGAGGTCGCAGTCGTTGCCTGTTGCCTGGCCAGGGCTCGGCCAATCACCAAAGACCTTTTCCACCGTCACCATGGTGTGCCCTCCCTGCTGCCTCAACTGCAGAACATCCAGATTAAACTGCTAAACTTCCATTAAACATTTTTATTGTATATATTTATATTAATACTTCACATTGTTATTATTAGTAATATTATTATCTGTTATCGTTGGAGTCTTGCAACAAAATTTTGCTCAATATGTACATTGTAAGTGTGCAGTTAAAAGATAATCAAGTCTGACTAGCGTTAGCAAAAAAAGAAAAAAACAAGAAAAGTGTAATTCGCTGAACTTTACAAAAATAAGTTTAAAGTAAGACTTCACACATCTTAGTTTTATTTTGCATAGAATCAATATTTGATATTGGAAAAGTGCATCACGCCTGCATTTTCTATGCTCAACCAACATATGTAAAGAAATACTGTGTCTATTCCTGTGGTGTGAAACTATTGGTGTCAACTTGCACTACAGGACATTATCACTGAAGTGTGTAATTCATGTGGCCTAGATTGAACAGCAGTCTAATTTAGACACATTTATTTGGACTGATTTAAACGCAAATGTTGCTTTATAGTTCTAAATCAACATTGTAAGATTTTTTGGAATAAGAAAAGATTAATTCCAATTAAACATTTCTAGTCTGTATGTGACATAACATATTTCTCATGTTCGATATTGTAGTTATTATGCATTCACTATTTCTGATCTTTATCTGAAGATGAGACAACCCGATTACTGTAATACCTCATTTAAAACCCGTGTTCTGCAGATCAGAGACCCCAAAACCCTGCTGGCTCTACCTGGTGTTCTAGTTGGGGACATGGGAAAAAAATTAGGCCAGAATGGACTGGATAATGGGTAGGTAGCTGCAGCGGTACTTATACCATTCTTACTCTATACGATTTTGACAGTGTATGATCCAAACACTTACTAAACTCAGTTTTTAAAGTTGACTGAACAATAATTTACCTGGACTAATGTAATACAGTTCTGTGGAAAGTCAGCAAAAAATATCTATGAATTAAATTACAAACTTACTTTGAGTTCTATCGTAATAGAAGATGATACATGATGTGTAGAGAATCGAGAGAGTGTCGTGTTATACAGAGTCAGAACTAGTAAAGTACTGTAAGGAACCAAATATAAAGGCATCACAAACAGTTTTGTTTGATTTATACTGCGTTGTTTCTTTCTAATAAAACACAACAATGTTTTATTCTTTTGGCTCTTTTTTCAACAGGTTTGCAATGTTTCACAATGTGAGAATTCCCAGGGAAAACCTGCTAAACCGAACAGGCGATGTTACCCCGGATGGACAATATGTGACACCATTCAAGGTATTTCTACACCTCCTCAATTTCTTGCTAACACGAGTACCAGTATCAGACAGTCGCATAGGACAACTCTGCATTTCAACATTATGTAGATACAGTGCACATGATTGGTGAAGTTCCTCAGAATGGTAACTTAAGTGACTTAACTGTTGAGGTAATGGGATTAACTGTTGAGGTAATGGGATTTTCACTCACAACCTTCTCTTGGGTTGACAGAGAATATCGCCCAAAAGATGGTAATAGTTGTCTGGATGAAGTCCTGGTTGATGTCAGAGGGATGAGAATAATTGTCTGGTTTAATATTATAGAGATTACTGACTGAAATAATGTATGGAGACTATAATTTCTGAAAGCATAACATGTAAATTTTGAAGCAGATGATCTTCAGCAGTAGAAGACCACGCTAATGTAACCAGATACTCAATACCTCCTGGCTACTTAAAAAAATAGCTGTCAATTATTGTCTGATGGAAATAAATGTTTAATATATTTAGGTGCTTTAGTTGGGTCAGATCAGAATGTAAGGTCTCTCAGCTACAACTTCCTGGGTACAAACACAGAGGTCCTTCAGTCATTTTTTTCTCAGACAGAAAACATGTTTGATGCCGACTATCTTAGATAAAATGCACTAAAAACTGAGTATTAGGTTCTGGACACAAGAGTAGTCGAGGAGCATTGGTCTGTGTTCATTCATAGAAAGCAAATATTCCAGGTCCATTTGTTTAAATAACCTGGAGTTCACAGGGATGATGCCTTCAGGGACACTGTCTACGTTTACGCTCCATGCTCTCATCTTTTGCTGAGAATCCACTTCTTACTCAGACACGGACTGTACTGAGTGGACAGAACAATTGATGTTCTTGTTTTATGCAGCCATTCACATATTGATGTCAGAATGGAAAGAGAATCTGAGTGTATAGTTAAAGGTTTACTCCACTCTTTAAGCCATAAAGCCGATAGGGAGGAATAAACAAACTGGGTTTTTCACCTGAGCTCCCCAGTGTAAGCTAAACTGCTTCAATAATTCATTTTTACCGCCTTTCATAACATACACAGTGTTAATCAAATTGTTTTCTTTGTGTGCTGTTATGCGTGCACATTATGTTTTGTGCACAATGTTTACATTTTTCACTTCAAAACATTAGGTTGTATGCAATGCCTCCCTAAAAATCAAAAGCCCTAAGAATACAAACACTGCTTCTTAAAAAACATCCTTTTTTATGTACATTTCTTCTGGACACCAGCCATGTGTAAAAGTATGATCACTAAGCGGCACATAGCAATTGCTAGAAAATATACATTTGTCATCTTCCAGCATTTTGCTTTTCTTTTATTATTTTAAACCCCCAATTTGTTGTAATCTGTGAAAGCAGAGTTTCACAGATTGAAAGTGCTCGTTTTTATGCAGCTTCACGCAAGTGGACACTTTGTTGTTAAAGAACTCATTACTTTTTAAACTTGTCAAAATTGGATGATGAATCCAATATTGACAAAAGCCACAGTAATATCCTTTCTTTCCTGTAGGACTCTAACAAGCGTTTTGGAGCCTCTTTGGGGGCCCTTTCCGGAGGTCGGATTTATATCACCAGGATGGCTTTCGTCAACTTGAAGCTTGCTGTCACTGTCGCTGTTCGATTCTCAGCCACCAGGAAACAGTTTGGACCAAGTAACACAGAGGAGATTCCAGTTCTGGAATACCAGTTACAGGTACATTCTGAACTATAAACCCTCAAGCATTTAGAAAGAGTAAAGATTGAATTGGATTTAGTTAAAGAACAAGAACAGGATGTTTTTTCACCGCATTTGTTCCATTTCAAAAAGTACAGTTTGGTGGTTTGATCTCTGCTTTTCATATGTAGTTATTATTACTTCAAACATTCCATAAAGAAAATGTTTATGCTTAAGGTAATGACTATCGATGCTCATGCGCATATTTTGTTTGGATCGTAGCAGTGGCGTCTGATCCCTTATGTGGCAGCAGCGTATGTCCTGGAACACTTCACTAAAACCATCTTCATGAACTTTGTTGAGTTCCAGTTCGGACAGCTGATGAAGGACAACAGTGACAGACAAGTAAGTACAGCATGATAAACTTTTATTCTTTTATTCCACACAGGCGTTGAATCTTTTGATCCCGTGATTCACAGGCAGAGATGGGAAGGGAGATCCATGCCATCGGGTGCTCCAGTAAACCGCTGGGTTCCTGGACGGCTCAGAGGGGCATCCAGGAGTGCAGAGAGGCCTGTGGTGGCCATGGATACCTGGCCAGTCAGTAGTTCATCACAAACACTCCCCCCAGGTCACTGAGTCAGTGTGAGCGCTATAACTCTGTGTGTTACAGTGAACCGACTGGGTGAGCTGCGTGATGATAATGACCCAAACTGCACATATGAAGGAGACAACAACGTTTTGCTCCAGCAGACCAGCAACTACCTTCTGAGCTTGTTCCAGGCCAAAGCCCACAGTAAGTGTAGGGGAAGGTCTTTAAGCTTACTTGTCAAGAAAGAGGAGGAAACGGGCTCTCTTGTTTAATGGCACTCATTTTACAAAGCATATGTTTTGATCAAGTGGGACAATTTTTCACCTATTGTAAGCGACATCAGGTACAAGAAACATATAGAATGTTTATAGTAAAACCAGCTGTTTTGAAATCGGGGAACATTTCACTGTTTGAAATGATCAGAAGTCGGCATTACTCTATGAATGAGGCGCAGCAGGAAGAAAACCAGCAGAACGTGGCTCCTTCACCAGACACACTCCAAAGACAAAATGAGAAAGAAATGGAGGGAAAAAACATTAATCATGAGAAAACATAAATATTCAGACCCGAATACCTGAATTTGACTGTATATTTGAATGAATAATTGCTCTTCAAAGAACCTTATTCATTCTATGTTGTATGTTCATCAGTAAGTGATGTAATTGTATCTACAATAAACATCTGCAGTCACCTAATTGTCATCTCTACTCTAACAGCTGATTACTGATCTCCACCTTTGCTTTTTGGTTTCAGATGGAGTTCCCATTCAGTCTCCCTTTCACACTGTGGACTTCTTGGATGATCATTTAAAACATCTGGAAAGCAAGTTTACAGCAACAACAGTAGAGGACTGTATGGAACCTGAGGGTACGAGGATAAATCCACTTCATAAAAAAACACATTTCTTCTACGCTGTTCTTCTATATGTCAAATTTTGTGTCCCGATTAGAGTTGAATTCAGACGAGCTTAATCCTTTTGTCAAATGTCGACACATCATTGTCAAATGTTTGTATTAAGTAATATCAAAACTTTGAGATGAATTTAACAAAACGATTTGGTGAGAAAAAAGAACAAGGTGCTTGTCATGTTCATAACATATTAATATTTACTGCATGAAGTTTATCAGTCTTCGGTCCTTTTTTTTAATCCTCTATTAAAACACAATTTCTTTTTCCATGACTTCAGTTTCTTTAGCTGCCTACATGTGGCTCGTCAGTTTTCTGCTTGTGGAGAGTCAGAGGAGGTGGGAACAACAGAGCGCCGTAAGCAGTGATGAGTTTGAGGCCCGTAACAACAGCCAGGTAACGAAACACACTGAGGAACAAAACACACTGAGGAACGAAACACACTGAGAAACAAAACACACTGAGGAACGAAACACACTGAGGAACGAAACACACTGAGGAACGAAACACACTGAGGAACGAAACACACCGAGGAACGAAACACACTGAGGAACACAAAACACACCTGAGGAACGAACAAACACACTGAGGAACGAAACACACTGAGGAACGAAACACACTGAGGAACGAAACACACTGAGGAACGAAACACACCGAGGAACGAAACACACTGAGGAACGAAACACACTGAGGAACAAAACACACTGAGGAACGAAACACACTGAGGAACGAAACACACCGAGGAACAAAACACACCGAGGAACGAAACACACTGAGAAACGAAACACACCGAGGAACGAAACACACTGAGGAACGAAACACACCGAGGAACGAAACACACCGAGGAACAAAACACACTGAGGAACAAAACACAGGGAAGAAATATTGCGAATATTGTACACCATTCTGCATTGACACCATGTTACTAATACTATGTTTTTCAGCCAGCAGAAAAAAAATATTATTTTTGCAACAACCTTCAGTGTCATTAAAGATAAGTCTTATTTGTGTACAGTTATGTGTCGAAAGTTAAATCACTTCAGAAATGATGCTGTTCCAGTTCATTTGTCAGGTATTATATTGACGAGCATAAACATATAATCAGTTAAATATGTTTATGGTGATTTTATTCTACAACATCTCTTTTTACTAATCTTGAACGAGAGCCAGAATAAAGTAGAAAACTAGACACAACCTGACTCTCTTCAGTTGGAGTTTACTTGATAATAAATACAAGCAATTTTAAAGAAGTTCAACGTTAACCTGCGTGTCCATGTGTGTGTTCAGGTATACTACTGCAGGTCCTTGGCTATCACCTACATTGAACACTGCTGCCTGCAGAGGTTTCATAGTCTGACCATTGATCAGGACACGCCCTCTGACCTCAAACCAGTGCTAAGAAAACTGTGTGCCCTTTATGGACTGTGGAGCCTCAGCAACCACATGGCGACACTGTTCCAGGGTTTGTCACCCTCTCTGAATTAAATGGAAACAGACCAATAAGATTTGCCTGTATCATAACTTTAATGCTTTTTCACAATACTGTTCTTGTTCAGGTGATTATATGTCTGGAAGGAAACCGGCGGAGTTGGTCCAGTTGACCATCCTGAGGCTCTGCTCAGAGGTATTTTGTCATGTCTGACATAAGTAATCACAGATATGAGGAGGAACCAGCAGCCTGTGTAATGAACTTAACGCTTCATTACCCAAAATGGACAACTTTGTGTCAGATGTGATTATTTTCTGTAACATATCTTCATTTGCACTTTAAATATACAAAGAACTATTAAGTAACCTTGAAAATGTGTTTTCAACTAAAAGGAAGGTCACACACTCATCTATTTGGTTTAAATTGGTCCTCTCCTCATTCACTTTGCATTACTGATTAGAACAAAAGAAATTAAGATTTAAAACCGTTTGGCTTCTGAATATTTTTCTTCAATTTGACGTCTTGCCCACATCCTTTCACATGAATCAAGACTTTCGTTGTCATACAAGCTAAGCCCCTCCCTATTTCAAATATATATATTTTTATGAAAAATGAGAGGGCAACTATTTTAGCAAGTTTGTGTGCACCAACAAACATGCGTCCTTCCCTCCCTCCTATTATCTTCGTGGTCATAGTGATGGCAGAGTGTGTGGGGAGTGCTTTCCAGAAGTCATTAGCGTTCAGTTTTGTTATCTCTTTTATGTTTTCATGGACCTGAATCATGAATTGTCGTCTTAAATATCTTTTTGCCTCGACAGTTGAAGAATGAAGCGGTGGCTTTAGTGGATGTTTTAGCTCCCACAGATTTCATCCTCAACTCCCCTATTGCCAAAGCCGACGGAGAGGTAAGGATGGACAATATGGACTGAAAGTGTTAGCATGATATTTTATGATATTATTGTGGTAATGACAAAAATGACAATAAGAACTATTCATTACTTCTTTGTCTTTTTAGCGCGCTCTAGAACAACATATCCACTTCCAATATACTTCTTTAGGAATGCAGTCACTTAAATGAGTGGCATTTATGTCACTAAACCGGACACAGTAACTGCATTTCATCATATTTTCTAATTTATCGACATGTATTTAATCTCTCATTGAACAAACAGTGGAGAAAAAGGTCAACAATTCCGGCAATACAGACAGTTGTGTGAATTTTGTACATGAACTGGTATTTATGATGAAAATAAATCAAAATTCTCCTCATAAGATAATTTATCAATTTATAAAATATTATAAATGATACACAATACAATAAATGCCCAGCCCTGGAGAGGTAAAGAAATACAAACCTGAGTGACATTTTTTGCTGTTACCATAATGAGTCAGTTCTGCTGAGCAATAACAAAATGACAATGGATTAAAATAAATAAATTAAAGACTAAATACTGAAAAGTTTCTCTATTCAAGTATAAAAACCAACCAATACATTGTTGTTGCAAAATACAATAACTACTTATAGCCTAAATCTGCTAAAGCTATGAGTAACTTTGGACTAAGGCGTGAACAGTATAAAAGTGCAAATAAGCATCTGTTGAAGTCTTACTGCACACAATATCAGTTAATATTATTGTTTCTGGTGTGCATGGCATCTTAAGCAGCTTCATTCACTAGATCATTTCTTCTGTCTGCAGCTGTATAAGAACCTGTGGTCCACAGTGATGCAAGGCAGTCAGGTGCTGGAGCGTCCCTCCTGGTGGAAAGAGTTCTGCTCCAATAAACCGACGGTCGGATCCCTTCGTTCCAAACTTTAGAGGCCAAACAACAACATGGAAGAGACAACAGATCCTTTTTCAGCAAGAAAATAAACTTAAGATGAGCTGCAATGTTTCTCTGGGGCTTTGAAAGTCATTAAATCGATTTGGTCAAATTTAAGGCCTTAAAAGGTATTTAGTCCGAAGCTCAGTGGCATTAAAAATGTTTTTATTAGTTTTGTTCAGCCAAACTTGCTCATTGGTGAATTTATGAATTATTGCCGGTGTTGTCCCAAGAAGTGGGTTTGCAGCTTGAAATTCAGCGAAAAAAATAATATCACTAAAAAACACACATTTATTTAGTAAGTTATACTATAAAAGTTGTACTACTTACTATAAGTAGTACAAGATAAGTAATACATCAAAAGAGCAGACGAAATCTTATGTTTTTAGAACAATAACAATATTTGTTAATCTGTTGCAAAGAGCGTTTTCTGGTAACAAAATGCCACAAACTAAACATCTGATTTTTACTTTTGCTAAGGTAAAAATCAGACGGCAGTGCAGTAACATTAGCACAGACAATAGCAGTGCACCGCCCTATATCCAGCCTTTTCCCTAAAACAAGCTTTTTAGCTATTTTTTAAATATTTATTTGCCATGTTTGGTCCACTGAATAGAGGAAGTCGATGTAAGCCTAAATGCTGCCACATGCCACTGGCAGCATTTAGGCTTACATTAGCATTTTGGCTCATTTTATCTTATACACTAATTTTAACACACTGAATAGAGTAAGTCCATGTTACTCAACATTCCTGTGACTGTCCACATGCAATGAAGCTCGTTGTATGTTATTTTAGGATTGTTTCAAATTTTAGCATCAGAACCGCTGCGTTCCAAACCGACAGGCCCCGTTTTTTTAGAAACGTTCTAGTTGAAAATGACAAGACTATTAAATCAGATTTAATGGTTTCAGAAAAGATCAGTTAAAAGCCTTAAATTGTTTGACATTTCAACTTAATATGGCAAGTTTTGTAAAAGTGCAAAAAAGAAAAAAGATCTTCATAGTTTGATTGTTGGGTTACCATAGCTACAATCTGATTCCACGAGTTTAATCTTTGTGTAAGAGCTTGGCTTGTTCACAAATGCATCCCAGCAAATAACATATATTACTATTTTGTCATCAGCAAATGAATGGCACAGAGATGAATGAAATGCTGAGCAGGAAATTCTGCTAGTTGATATTTAAAATCATTTGTCAGATTATAAACTGATTTTAAACTTTTAAATTTGAATTGCCTTGTTGCTGAAAATGTGCTATATAAATAAAATGGCCTTACCATTAGCACCTTTTAATCACAGTCTTTAAGCTGCTGTTTAACATACATTTTATTATTTCCACAGCTCTGTATCAAAGGTTTTTTTCTGGTCTAATGTTTTAATCTTAATTGTCAAGATCATTGCAAGCAACAACAATAAAGGCTTCAAAATATTCTTTATGTGCTTCTCTTTCCCTCTCTCTCATATATGCACATATGACGGCAGGTATTTATACCATATCATGATACCACACCCAGCTCTAAATGTCTACGTTTACTCTGGACTCATTTATAGTAAAATAAGAAGCCATTAAAGAGATGCTATCCTTTTTTAAATGGATAAGCATCGACATGCAGGATAAAAAGATCATTTTTTTCGTCCGGGTCTTTATTTAGAGATCAGTTCAGCGGCAGATGTCACCAGTGAGCAATGAATGACAGATGGACGAATCCGTCATAATGGTGGATGAAGAATAAAATTCATTTTTAATAAAGTTTTCTGAATGTCCTCTAGGAGGCGTTGTTGGACGTCAGGCTACATTTCTCCATCACAACACGGCAAGCAAAGAATATGTGATTGACAACATGTGATTGTTTGATGTGTTGTGTTTTATTATTGTTCTGTTAGGATATAAACAGAACTTATGACTGTTTTTTTTTTTTTCCCAGTCTGGCCAAATCGTCTCGATTCACTACGTAGATATTTAAAGGGATCCATTAGTTGTAGCAATAGAATTTATTTGACAAAAGTTTATTTTAGATGCAAAAACAATAATACTGTTTAGGTTTTCATAAATTTTAATAAAATATTGTCACATGAAGGAGTTCACCCTGCGGTGCATTCTGGGTAAATGACGTCTAATGATCTTGTGATTGCTTTGTTTTCATGTCTGCACATATTTCTTATGTTTAAGAATAATGAACTGTTTGCAGCTCATGTTCTGCGATTATCGTCGCAGGGTCAGGAGGTGATGTGGGGCACCGCGGGACACGGCGCCGGTCATTCGCTGCATCTCCACGTTCACATGCAGAACAAATGACTGCTGTTTGTGTTAGATTGACTTTATTTTGTTGATGATTTTTATTTATTCATTTATTTATTTTTGTCTCCTGAATGTTTTTAGTCAGTGTACACGTTTCATCTGTACAGTGTGAGGGTGACAACAAAACTACAATAAGAAATAAACATATTTAAAAAAACAAGATAAAATCACAATAAGTGACATTTTAACATGAGACTTTAATAAGAATCACGTGACAACGTTTAAAAATGCTTCTAATTTAGTAAAATAAATATCTGTTAGGTTTCCACCAATCACAAACTCCCATTGTTGTTAACAAACCTTGAAAAATAGTCTTAATCTTGATATATAAATATTGGCCTGACGTTCTTTATTTTACCACTTATTTAACAAAATCTGGAATGAGCATTGCAAGAACAATGTAGAGAATTACATATAAAAATACATATTTTCTATAAAGTACAAAAACACACTTTTAGTTTACATTCAAGGAAATTTTGTCTTTAAAATTCTATTTTTATTCACTCATAAAGGATTTGTCTGATTTATAGAAACAATTAACACATTTATCTGCTCTTTGTTTTTGTGCAGCTTTGACAACTGGAATAAAACTAGAAAAGGGGTTACCATAGAGACAGGTATTAATTACTCTTAATGTATCTTCAAAGTCATCATACACCTTCAACCTTTTTGACCAAAAACAACTTTGTGTTTGATGGGCGTTTTATGTGTTATTTATGTTATATTATTGTTTTCTTTTCATTTTGCTTCTTGCTCCATCATGGAGCAAGATGCTTTCAAGGTCAGATGGAATTTTATTATGATTTTATTGATTTTAATCAGTTACCTCTACAATGTTCTCTGTGCATAGACTTGAAACAGTCTTTGGTCTGTACTAAGTAGTTGTGTGTGAATAGTAATTTTTCAAAATTATAAATTCATATTTTATAATTCTCTCTTTCTTTCATCTCTGTTAAAAAAAAAGTTCAAAAACTTTTTTTTTAAAAATGGTGACAAAAAAAAAATCTTTTGACTTTTTCATTTTGTCAATTTACACACACCTCACCTCTTGGTGCTGACGCACAAACACCTTCAACTTTACACACACAAAACTTCATCAATTTCTCTTCAATGCGCAGCCTGTGTTTACTTTCTCCAGATCCTGCAAATGTTCCTCAAGGTCCTGTGAAAATGTATCAAGATCCTGTTATGCAGGATTCGGCTTCGCGAGCGTTGACAGGAGAAACATAATGTATCATTTTGTATTTGTCGTTGATCGCCCACGTGGAAACCCACTGAACCCAATGCATTAAATCAATAAGCATTTCATAAATGATTCTAAACACAACATAAGTTTTTATATTTAAGTCGCACAGAGAAATATGTAATTGCGCCCGGCAGTCACAGATTATGATGGGTCGCATAATTTGGTATAACATCCTAATTCAGATTTTTTCAATATTTCGCCGGATCTCGGAAGACTTTGGTAGGATCTTGGGAAACTTTTGCAAGGTTTGGAGAGAGAAAGTCAGAATCCCTTTCCCTCCGTTCTTTGTCCACCTCTCAGCTGGACGCTATCTGAGAGCTGATGGCGGCGCGTTGAAGAGTGATGGTTTGGTGAGAGGTTTGGTGTGCGTCCAGCTCAGGTACCTCACTGCTACAGAATTATTCGCTGAATTGCGGGATCAGGTAAAGTTCAGAAAGTTCAGCCAACTTCTGATCACTTTAGCCGGTCGAAAGCGATTTCAAAATTGTGTCACTGTAGAGAAAAAGTTACATCTTCAGCTTGTTCAAATATTAAACAATGAAGTCCAATTAAATATCATCAGTAATTGAAAGAAAATTGACAGGATTTTTTTTTTTTTTCGACCCACGTTAGCCAAAATGGCGGACAACAAAATCGTAGAGCGACCGCTTTTGCTTTTATGAATCTGTTGAAACAAAAGTGGAACTTGCAAATATTCTCCCCATTTTTTTCAGGGTTGGCAGAAAAGATTTCTGGCTCCATCACTGAGTAAAATGTTAATATGCCATAAAATTCTCAAGCCAAGAACAGAGATTTAAACACAACTACACCACCGTTTTGGTGAGTGCGTCAAGCAGAGTTCGGAAAGCTGTTCGCAATGCATTATGGGCCAGACATGTGATGTTCTTGCAACAATTCTTGGTTGCATCACTGAGGTAGATACAATGATAGATTATAATGAGATTAAATTAGAAGTTTTGCAATATCAGGAGTTTTTTTGCAAACAGTGACTGAAAAACCCATTGGTTCCCCAACAGGCCTTGGAATGCTGAACCACTGCGGTGGGATTGTTCTACTGACGGGAGCGTTTGCAGGATCCGGTATCGTTTAGAAAGTCTTGCCGACTTCTGATCACTTCAACTGGTCACAAGTTACAGGATTTCAAAACTTAGTGACTGCAGAGATAGTTAAATTTCAGCTTGATGATAATATGATGTGACAATTATATTGAAACACTACAATAGTAAATTTGTCACATCAAATGAATACATTTAAATACATAAAACAATAACTCTTTGCAAAATTTGAATTAATATGAGTTACAACAACATTTAATTTCCTTTTGGGATCTCATTTTTTCTTAGACCCGCCTGAAAAGCAATTCCTGGCTACTCCAAAGAGCGATACACAACTTTCACATATTTTATGAAAATAAAAATGTGACAAATGAGGTGTGTGTTTTCTGTTGAGTCCGATGTGTGCAATTTAAACCTGTTCCTTGAAGTTCCCAAAGGTTTGCTGGAGAACATCAGTGAACTGGCGGCATTATGAAGTCCGAGGAACTGAAGTGAAAAAGTGGTTCTACGAAGTGATTAGTTAAAGCGGGTGGAATATGTCATACTTTCAAATGTTTGAAATGTTTATCTTCCCAATTATGCAACACTTCACGTTTGGTCTTTCTCCTTCAATTCCAGTTGAAAAATGAGGTATTAACTAAATATAAACGTGACAAACTGCGAGAAATGTTCAAGTGTTATGGGTACGTTAGCAAAGCATCTGCCTGTCAAAACGATTCCTAGCATTACAGTCACCAAGGGAACGACGAGATGAAGCTTTCTAGTATAGAAAACAGGACAGCCTTGTCGGTGTTTTTGTAACAGTCCTATCAAGGCTGTCATTGGCTCAAAGTGATCAGTGCATAAATAATGGTGTGCTGCGTCACAGTGGACGGCACACAGACATGACGCTGTCCAGAAACCCCGTTTAGATTCTGAAGGTGGTCTTGGTGACGAATCGAGGATTCCTGACCCCGTTGGATGTGGGGTATTTAGCATCCACACCCACTTTCCCCCACAAACAAACCGGTGCCCTGAGAATGGCATACAAAACTCTGGTAATGAAAATATCAGTAAAATATATTTAGCTTTCTCTTGAGTGATAACCGATTGCATAATCAATCATAATATGTATAATTTGTGATGTAAGTGGTAAAAAAAGAATCAAAATTGATATTTGTAAGTAGATGGAAAAGTGTAAAGATGTCACACTTTTCCGTGCCCATTAACTATGAATATTAAATATTTAATGCAAAAAAAAAATAAAGTAAATGCTTGGTGTCCAACGCCTTCCTTTCCTGGGAAAATATTCTTCCAAAATACAAGAACAAATATTTTCAACTCCAATATCTTAATGTTTCAGATATCACATCCCAAAAACATCTGGCTTACAAAAACCAACAGCTTCGCCACAGAACCATTTTTCTGTACATGTTGAGTGTCTCATGTACAAAAACCTTCTGCATTTTGTTCATTTCTGGTCCTTCTACTCAGATTGTGTCTGTTAGCAGGATTAAACATGATGCTGTGTCTTTTATGGCTGCAGGTGTTTTTTGTTTTTATTTCTAGTCTCTTGTTGAAAAAAAGAAACTGTACAATCTCACTGGATTTTATTGAATAATTGTGACATTTCCGTGTTCTTTGAAATGTGCTGGTTTTGTCCCGGATTACGGAAAACTAACCGAATTGGACAATGAGAACTGTGAACCGCAAACACCTACACCATGTGTGTAAACATGCATGTACACACTGACATGTAAGCCGAGTAAAGATATTTGTTCTGTTGGTCTAATCCTATTTACACCGTCCCACAGAGCGCAGTGTGGTCTCTGTGGGTCTGGCCTGACCCGTCAGGAAAACGAGATGTTTCGATGAGTCGAGCCAGCTCAGGGTTGGAAAAACAGAGTGATGGAGTTGGGGGAACTGCCTCACATTCATAGCTGACACAGTGTGTGACACAAACTTGTGTCTTCTGGAATGTGTAGCTGAATAGACAGAGAATCCACTCACTGCTGGGCGGCTGTGATTGTGTCTACATCTATTGGTTGGGCTTCCTGAGAGAAGGATCCTCTGTTTTGACTAACATACGTGTTTCTTTTAAAACCACAATGAGACATAACATGTATGACGCCGACACCAGAAATAATTTTAAGCTGGTTACTGAAGATGCAGAGAGCATCACAATGATGGCTTTCTAAAAAAAAAAATACATTTTTTAAAAAAATAGTTTAAAAAACCCATTTTAAATGAATATCTGTAAGCTCATTGGTCCAACGGTGCCCTCCGCCCGGATGGCAAAGCGTGACGCCTGAATGGTTTGAGAATCACCACACGTTACTTGATTGGTTTTAAGGTCGGCATCAAAAAAGAAAAGAATTCACACAGACATGCAGATAGATTTGCTAATTTGCTTTATTTAACCAGAACGAAATAAATTATTATGGGATGTGAGAGTGTCGTAGATCAGTAAAAGGTAGTTTGTCTAAGCATCGTCAGCAGTGATGTAAAAGGAGGCAAAGCACAGTTAGGAATTGTTTTAGTCACGACGGTAACTAAGAGACAGAAACTGTTTTATCAGAACATTTGCCTGCAGAAAGAACTTGAACAATCTACCAAGGTGACTAACAGGGAAAGGTGTGATGAAAGGGAGACATGATGGTGGTCCTGTTACATTTCACATGTTGTACGTCTGAACAAATACTGTCATAACCACTGCAGAGATATATGCTGTCTCCTTGTTTTTATTTCTCTCCCATTGCTGGTGAAACATTTAAAATAATGTTTTAATATTTTAAGAATCAATTTGCAGATAATTTTTGTTTTCGACTCAAAGAAATAAAGTTAAATACAGTGTGAATACAGTGCATGGAGCTGATAAAAACGGGTGTGAGCTTCATGAGTCCAAAAAACACCCTCCATGTTACCCGCATGGTAACTTGAATGATGGCAGCTATATATCTTTAAAAAAAAAAAGAAAAAACAGCCAACGTATTTAGCAAATTTTCAAAAATAGTAACTATGATGAACTTACAGAGCTTATTTAAGATGGGTTTTTTTTTGTTGGAAATATCAAACAATCTAAAAACTTTGAATAGCCCCCTTTTTAATTGCAGAAAAACAACTGACATGCTAAAGAAAAAAAAAAACATAAATAGGACAAGGCACACACCTTCATCACTCCGTCCTTCCAACCCAAAGCTGACCTGACTCCTAAAACCGCCCACTTCTAATGGCAACTGTGCAGAACAAATAAGTTTACCGTCTCCTAAAGCACTGCACATGTTGACCACTGTTCTGATTAAAAATATATTTATTAGAAGTGTAAGTAAATGACTGCAGGGAAAGAGAGGCGATGTTCCTGCCTAATGATTTGCTGCCTTTCTCTGGCCGGACTGATCAGAGTTCTTTTTTTAACTGAGAACCCATTCGACCTCTGAAGGGGCAGTATTATGTGTTTTCTGTAGGCACACAGTAACTGTCACTATCACTTACTATAAAAACACTGTACATAATCAAACATGACTCAAGAGAAATTTGACTTTGCAATTTAGCATCTTGCAATTGGGCCTCTGCCTCCTTAAGATGTTCCTGCTCTTTGCCTCCAGTGCGTCAACATTACGCAACGAAGTGTTCGCAAACGTTCATCAGACGACTGAACTGAGAAATAGTTCATATTATGAGCTGAACAGATGTGTTTGCTAATTGCTGTTGCTGCTGCTAGTTTGAAGGAGCAAAGTGCCCTGTAAGGCAGAAGCTTGGAAACTACATCTCCGGAGAGGAGCTGTGTCTGAAAGGCGGACTTTGGTTCCCCCAGACATTTTAAAAACCTGAACGGTTGCCATGGGAAGTTCAAGGATTTCCCGAACATTTGTGAAAGAATCAAAGCAACTCTATGGGTACGTTTTTGACGAGGGAATGACAAAAAGTGGATTTAGACATAATACTGCCCCTTTAAATCAAGCCACTATGATGCCCTTCAGGTGTAATCTCGGTCAACAGTGCTGCAGTTTGTAGAGAAGTACAGATGGGTACGGCTGAGAAAAATGCATTTTAAAAAGCCTTCACCGCAATCCCTAATGAAACATCGGATGGGAAAAGATAGCCTACAAAGGCTCGCATTCAGTTTCTCTTGTTTAGAAATGGCGGTGATTAAACCTGGCAATGTAAAGTTTTATTACGATCACAACGTTAGTCATTTAAGCATGACCTACTTAAATCTCAGCCGAGAGCACCGGGACAAAAAAAAAAAAAAAATGGTGCAAGAATCCATATGACACCAGAATCCTGGCCGTCACCAGATCAGGAAGACGCTGGATTTTAAGTTAATGTAAAAATTCGTCGTAACTCGGGAGCTGCTAAACAGAGCAAAGCTGCGATGGCTTTATGTTATGTTTTATTTACATGTAAAACACAAAGAGCAGAGCGTCCAAAACAGGTACTTTGTACCAGCCTCATTGTTTAGTGAGGTCAAAGGTGAGATTTTACCCCTGTCAGTGCTAAATGTTTCAGAACGGTTTGGTTGCGCGTTTGGGATCAAATTCCTGTCGAACACCCAGATGTGTGTTCAGCTTGAGAGGCTGCTTGCACTTATGGAAGGAAGTCTACTTTTAAACTTAAAACAAGTTTAAAAAAACAAAAAAAACAACTAATAAAGTAATAGTACCACACTGGTATCGATCCGGAACCAATATTAATATCTGTATCGGTAGTATTGATCCACACCTCCATGGAGCACAAACATGAGAGAGCAGATCTGTGGAGCTTTCTGACAAAAAGCAGGATGCATTTGTGCAAGAGGCACTAGAGTCAGAGTGAGAGCAGAGTTCTCGGTGGGAGCAGTTCAATATCGGAGCGAAAACGAGAACTCTTAAGTCAGAACAAGAAAACATACATTTCTTAAAGAACATGTATATTTTATGGTTGCACGTGACGAACTGTGCAGCCTGACTTCATTTAATAGAAGTGCAGTGTTTTCCTTCGCCGTGATCCGGCTGACTGCTCAGAGTCTGCGGGCGTTAGCAGCAGACACAGAGAGGCGGGTTTTGGAAGGACGCACGTTGGGATTATTGGATTAGGTTTTCTTAATCCCTCTTTTTATCGCCTGTTAGAAATAATATTCTTCCTTTACAAGTGAGAATATCAACTTGGAGGCTCGTCAAAACTAATAAAAGAATAGACAAACACTTTTAAACTTTCTGTCCGTGTTGTGTTGGCGGACAGAGGAGGTCCAGCTGCAGTGCAGTTGGCCGAACTGAATTTAGAACATAAATAAAGCTGGATCGGAGTACTTTTTTTTTTTTAAGATTAATTAGCACAACATTGTACCATTGAAGTGAAAATTTTACATTAGCTTTGTTACATACATAGCTATTTTACAGTCAAATACTTGGGGAAAAAATAAAAGGGGAAGAAGCATCTGGCCCCAAATGAAATTTAAAAATGGTTTCTACTTGTAGAGCGTTTTGTCAAGTTCACAAGACCCCCAAACCTATCAGGTATTTATATCAGAGGATATTAGCATAATTTTAATGCACATTTGAACTGATATTCCTAACCCTAGTTATTGTTGCAACTGCAGGAATGAAGGGAATCTGTAATACTTATTTGATCCTGAACTACCCCTTCTTATAATTCAACACCTCCATTGTTTTTGTTAAAGTGCCTTTAAACTTGTGCAGACTTAGTAACCCCAACTCAGCCTTTAAACATATAAAGTTTCAGTTTTTACAGAAAGAGCAGAAGAAGAAGGTTTGAAATGAGGTAAAGGGACTGTTATCTCTTCAAAATAAAAGAACACTTGTACTTATTCTAGAATGCATTATTGCTACCAGCGAGACGAATCTTACCATTCCTCTTAACCCTTTAAAATCAAACGGGATGTACAAAATTGAGCTAACATCAAATACACTAATAAGCTAAGAAGGCTATGGTTTTTGTCTTACACTAGATTTACTATTGTGTTGGGGTTTTTTTTGTTGTTGTTGTCTCAAACATACTGAAAATGTTAATTTTCCTCAGATTTAGCACTAGAGGTCTCTAAATTTGCATGCAATGGATTTGATGCAAGGTTCAGTTCAGAACAACCCTGCCAAAAATATTTGTGCTGTTGACCTGCAGGAAACTCTTTTGACTATGCAGCATTAATCATCCCCCTAAGTGTTCACTTTCCATTGAATAAAATATATCAGAATGTAAGTTTGTTAAAATATACTTTTTTATCTTAGTATCTTTCTGTCCAAAAAAAAGTTCTTGTTTTTTTTTTTTATTTTAGTGTATTTGAATTCTATTCTCTTTAATTCTTTCTTTCTTTCTTTCTTTCTTTCTTTCTTTCTTTCTTTCTTTCTTTCTTTCTTTCTTTCTTTCTTTCTTTCTTTCTTTCTTTCTTTCTTTCTTTCTCTCTTTCTTCCGTCTTTACCTCATTTAACTTCTTCTGCTAGATCAGATCTGACTCCACCACACATTGCTCAGTGTACTCTTTCACCAAATCTACTTTTAAAGTGTTCTGACAGAAATCAGTCATGGGCCTCCAAAGACCAGGCTCCAGGAATATCTGGCACATCACATGACCCTTCAGGTGGTTTGTGTGGCGCTGAAGGTGGCACAGGAACTGCTGCTCAGCCAAACTCAGGTCTCTACCGAACATGTCAATGTTCAGGTAATACCTGTGTCAGAAGAAAAGAATACATTTACTTATCAATAAAAAAAAAAAAAATATATATATATATATATATATATATATATATATATCCACAGAATATACAAAACGGTGCTTGTTTATAATCTGTCTCTTTTGTAGATATGCAGGAGGTTAATTAAATTCCATTAAACCTGCTTTCTTTATTATATGTGAGGTCTAAAGCACATCTAAAATAAATTAATATGGTGAAAACATTCCACATTTTCTGTGACTTGTTTCAAAAAGTCATGTGTAAAACATACATAGACAAACAGTCAATGGTCTGAGAATGGGGCACTAGGCAATTTTTAAGATGTTGCTAATGTTTTATTCTTCACCTAATTATGACTATTTCATATTCCTGGACATTATTTATCGAGCCAATGGAAAAGTTACGAAAAATGTCCTCTAAAATAGTTGTAATAATGTAATAATTAATTTGAAGGACCTATTTAACTTGTTCTATGAAAAAATAAGAAAAGTTACCAATCATCTCCAATGGGCACCTTGAAAGGGAAGGTACAGAGGCTGGCCACAGTCGGATTGGACACGTCATCCACCAGCCAGTCGATGTCCTTCTTCAGTAGGATCGCAATGTTGCTCGGTAGAAGCTTGAACGGCTGCCAGTCTTGAATGATGGTGGCGTTAGGAAGCACGTCGTGCATCAAGTCAGTGGTAAGGTAGAGCTGATGGATAGATGTTTGATCGAGAAGCACAGGAGGAGGACCGGGCTGCTGTGAAGAACGAATGCCGGCACTCGGAATAATTTCGCGAAGTCGCAGTTTGAGTTCTTCAGCTCTGAAACGTACCAGCAGAATGCCCTGTGGAGTGCAGGAAATGCAGTCGTTTAATTCTTAAAACGGCTTACGGAGGGAGAAAGAGAACAAAAGTATTTCCAGGGCTTGCTTTGTCAATTGTACCTGCTTGGTGATGAGGCGATACTTTTCAAAGTCCTTCGGCCCAAGCTGATCGTCACGGGTCAGGCGGGTCACTTTCACATCTGGATACTTGGATTTGACCAACTCAGAGCAGAAGCGCAGCAGAACTCCGGCTACGCCCTTCCCCCTTTCCTGAGGAGCGACACGGAGACCTTCCACAAGCATCGTCTCCCCGTCATCAATCACACACGCTGATTCCAGAGCAATCTACCAAAGAATAAGAACAAGAACAGAAAACGTGACCAAAATGGCACAGTATTCATTAAAACCCTAATCCTTTGTGTATAGTAATACACAGACATACACAAATGAAGCAATGAGAATAATTGAGCAAATGTAAATGTGTGGAAATGTAAATAATATTGCAGCTTTTCCAATTACATGTTAGCCGTTAGAGCATGATGAGGTTTAAGTGAATATTTTAAAAGTGTTGATCAGCTGGAACTTTCACACACAACCGTCTGTAAGAATGGTACCGAAAACAGACACAAGAGAGGACAAAATTTTGGTGTGGTCACAGCCTCACCAAAATTAAAATGAACAGATAAACTGTCAGGATGTTGGGTTGTTTGAGTTGGTTTTGGGTTTAGTTCATTTCTGTGTTCCTTAGTTCCTTTTCTTTAATTAGATCAGCTGTGTGTCTGTTTCGTCCTTCCTCAGTCACTCTAGTTTTGATGTTTCTTAGCTCCAGGTATTCTTTGAGTTAATTTCCTAGTCGCTTGTGTGCTCTTGCTCGCCCCCTGTGCTATTTTCTCTCTCTCCTCAGTCTGCCCAGATCTTTTGTTCCAACATTCGCCCTCCCAGTATTTAAATCCCTCTCCTGTTCACATTCCTTGCTGGTTCCTCCTGTTATGCTTCATTACTTCCCCGGCTTCCCTCATCTCTGTGTTGTTATTTTTGTTACGGATTACTTTTTGTCCTGTCTTTGCTACCTGCATTTAAAAAAAAAAAAATCTTTTCTGCATTAGGGCCTACCATCTATAAATATCTCATGACATATATGTTACAATATTTTTTTCTGTTACTGTGACAGTGGCAAAGGGTAGTTCACGGAAGTAAAACATGATCAAACTCATTACTAGCAAGGTGTTCTTAATAATGCGGCCGATGAGAAGATATATTTGTATGAAGACGTGAACGAGTAGCAAACTCACCACTTTTCCCTCTTTGCGTGCCAGAATGACTGTGCGGTTGGATTCCTGGAGCCAGCTGGTGTATCTGGTGGGAAGGTAGTCCAGACCACCATAGATGTCCTTGCTCATTGCCATAATTTCATCAAAGTCTTCCTCAGTGGCAACAGCAAACTGAAGACCAGCTTGGGAGGGGGCCTCAGGAAGCTGAGGAATGGTCAGATTGGTATCAATCTTCATCCTGCAGCAACTGCTGAGATAAAACGTGAGGGAAATGCGTTTTTAAATTTCACAGAGGAAGAGCAGCAAAGACATCCTGCAGGTCTTACCTACAGTATGAGTCATGAATTCATTTTTCTTAGCTTAAATTTCTAGAAATAGTGAGCAATATTACTCACTCAGATCATACAGTAAAAGTGCAAATGTGAAAGTGGTGCACAGACAAAAAAAAAAAGAGAAAGAAATCATTAGGCAAACTTCTAGTGACAGTGGCAAAGGGTAGTTCAATGTGGAGCTGGTTCCCTCTGACCAAAATGGCATCATTTTGTCCTCGGGTTCATGTCGTCCGCCCGTTCTTGTCACGCTCTCCTGAACAAACTTTCTGAGAGCAGCATGGATAGTTTAGATTAGCAACAGTTCGAAACTGTGAGTGTAGTGCTGAGGCCAGCAAACTTCTTAAAAGTCAATTAAAAGTTTACAAACCTTCCTGCTAAGCCAAGCCCGATTTCTTGAAATCTTTTCCTGTCTAAAATAAATAAATGAGTCCAATGAGTGAAATAGTTAATTAAGTTTATTTAATCAAGGGCAGCATATAGGATACTGTTACAAAATGAAACAATTCAACGGTTATTACAAAGGTTTTCAACAAAGGCTAATTCGCAAGCACAGTAATTGGTTGAAATTTTAAAAAAATACAGCAAAAATATATAAAAGAAACAATGAAATGGGGTAGAGGACCACTAGTCAAAAGTTTTAGAATGCTAAATTTTTTCCAGATTTTTATGCAGTTCAAAAATTGTAAGAATGGCTTGAAATGGTTCAAAGGTAAGTGGTGCCCTGCCAACTTAAAAAAAAGCACAAAAAACCCCCCAGTAAGATTACCCCAGACTGAAAATGAATGTTCATTTCAGGATTATGCAAAAAAAACTTTCTCCGTAAACTCAGAATGGGTTCACAATTTCAAGCTGATCTGTAGCAATTGAGATGAATGAAACCCTAAAAGTTGGTGCTACTAATTCCTAAAGGCCTTCTAGATTCTCTGGATATCTTACAAACCCCTGTATTTGCATAAAAATTGCACTGGAACACACTGTTTTGTCATACCCTTGTGAGAATCTGTTAAACAGATCAGTACTACATTACAATATAATACTGGAAAAAAGACAACTAAGAGAGGATGAGAGGCAGACCATCATGATACCTAAAAATCTTGGTCTTTCCTACAGAGAAATTGCAAAAGTCAAGGTGTCAGTGAGTACAATCTCCTTTGCCATCAAAAGGTACTTAGAAACTGGAACAAACTGACAGGAAAAGGTCTGGCAGACCCAAACCCATAACAGATTCAGAGGAGAGGTTTCTGAGTTAACAGAAGGCTCACAGGACAACAGCTTCAAATAGCTTAATAGTGATTGCCATAAGCGGTGAGGATTATCCTATGAAGAGCACCAGTTTCTTCTGCAGCAAAACGGCCCCACAATATGATGCTGCCACTCCCATACTTGACAGTTAGGATGGTACAATCTTCTTCCAACTGTAACGACGGTCATTGTGCCCAAATAGTTCCACTTTAATTTCATAGGACCCCACCACAGGAAGGTCTTTGTCCCGGTGTGCATCTGCAAACTGCAATCTGCCTTTTTATGCTTCTTTTAAAGTAATGGCTTCCTCCCCACTGAGTGGCCTTTTAGTTCACGTCCATACAGAACATGTTTCACTGTGGATAATTACTCTACCAGCTTCAGCATCATCATCATGTCTTTGGCTTTTGTTCTTGAGTTGATTTTGAACCAAACCACATTCATACGAGACAGAATCCATCTTCACCCTGATGGATTGTGTTCCTCCAGATAGCCTCCATGTCATCCAGCTGAAGTGTGTTTCGGTCCTCCATCAGAGGTCGCCTCTGCCCACCTGCAAAAGGTTGCTTTTGTTTTTTGCTTTCTTAGTTTTTTTGAGAATGTAGTCCTGGATCATCCTCGGCTTCTGCAACAGAACCCTCATATATTGCTTCGTCCAATCCGCGTGTTGACTGCTGAATAGTTTTTCATGCTTACGGATATGTTTTTCCTTCAAGCCCTGTGTCACTGCGTGAAAGGTGCGAAGAAGTACGCAAACAGGTAAAGATCTATAAGAGCAGCTAAATTAACAAGGACTGCAGGAAGAGGCAACAAATCAGAACAAATAAGTAATAATCCTTCCTTCAGACCCTCCGCAATTGTATGACTCATAATGTGAGGCATGAAAGGAAGGAAATTACCTCCTTTTCAAAAAGTGAATTTTAGAATCAGTTTTTTTTTTTACCCAGTTAAATCACTTCTTACAATTCTATGAGACAGGCACTGCAACAAACACGAACAGCACTTTCATAGTTAAGAGTTTTAGTTTGCTCCAATAATCATGTCCCAATAAAATATCAAAGGGCCATGTGAGCTGTACGGGCATTTGCAGTCAAAACAAAGTCTAGTCACAACAGATAGACGCAGTTACTCTATGCAGACTCTGGTATTTTCCCATCATTCAGAGGACCTTGGCTGAATAGTCTGGTCCTGTCCTGTCACTGAGCTGGATGCTGTTTTGTTTTCCTGTTTCTGTCTCGCGTTCGCGCACATGCACTCATTGATTCATTGTTCTTTTTATCCTCTCATGCTACTGCTGGCTTTTTCCATCTGGCTGGCAGTGGACTCCACACAAATGGAATTTGTGAGCAGTGACTCACAGCAGATTCTTATCCAGAGCAACATAAACTTTTGTGGTAGAACATGTTAGCCAACAATGACTCTTGAAAAAAAAATATTTATATTTACGCTGATGTCAGTTGGGTCAATACAGCTTAAGAGGTAATAACTGCAATTCTTAAAGGCACCAGCTTGACGATACAGTTGCATACAACTAACTGTACAATCATGAAACACACACTGGGGTGTAATTAGATTTTGGTTCTAAATCTTGCAAAACATGTAATTTTCATCCTCATATCAAATAATGTTCAATGATATATATATATAATTTGCACAAAGTATTTGGAAAAGTAACCATGAGTTTTCCTTTTTGAGTCATTAAATGTTTCTAAAACTATTAATATAAATTGTTCTGCAGAACTCCTGAGGGGCATCATAAAACTTTGTCAGGAGTGAGATATATCTGAGTGGCTTTTGGGTTCAACTGGTCCTTGTAGATTGTAGTTATGGAGTGAAGGATGTCTGGTTAGGGAACTATAAGGTCTCTTCTTTGTCTTTTGCAAATGGTGTTGTTCTTCTTCTCACCAAGAACTTAGCAATGCACTGAAGACTGGGAAGAAAGTTGATTCCTCTAAAGGACTCTTCATGATTGAGCCAAACTGACAAAATCACTTTGCTTTGTCGCAGCTGTATGATGAAAATTGTATTATTTTGTTGTCGGTCTCGTGTCGTCTGCCCCTTCCTGTCACAACCCGCCCAGGCAAACCTTTCGCCCCTTTCTCCACGCAAACCTGTTATATGATTGGTCTGAATTTCATCTGTGCACTTATTTATGTGGAAAACCACTGAGTCACAGTCAGAGTAGATTTTGAGGAGCAATTGTTTGAGAAGGTAAAGTAGTATGTACTAAAATATCAAACTCCTCCTGGTCGGTTCTGGTTCAGTGCGGTGGGAGAACGGCTCACTGATGAGTTTCTTCTTTAATGTGGAAAAATACAATGAGATTTTGCAGTCCATCAGTTATGTCTTCCTCTGAATCTGTGATCAGTTGATCCATGATGTGTGCTGCAACGGAACGAGGCGGTGTATCTTGTGGATTGTGAAGCGTCTGTCTAAAAACAAACATGTCTGCACATCCACAATTTGCCTTCGATCCGACCATGCTGGGTCCTTAAGTTGGAGGCCATGGTTCTCAACCAAAAAAAGGTGCATTGCTCCCTTTGTGCAACGCACAGTAATACATATCTGTGCATAATATCAGCCTGTGCTTTAGTTGGAGGAATTAAAGTATCTTGGTATCTTGTTCATGAGGAGGACGGAGCAGCAAATTGACAGGCAAACTGGGGCAGCGTCTGCAGTAGTGCAGGGATAGAGTGGTAAAGGAAGAGCTGAGCCAAACAGCATTCCAGCCCTCACCTGCAGCAATGATATGGATCATGACCAAAAGAATGAAATTCCGGCGCAAGGAGCTCAAGCCATGATTCCTTCCTATTAAACAGATTATCATCTATCAGGATGCCTTCTGGGTCTGGGTCACTGCCTCTCCTGGTTCCCCAGGCACATTCCAATGGAAGGACACCACAGAACAAACCCAGAACTCACTAGAGGCACCATAAAGCCTGGGACTGCCTTGTAATTCCCTAGAAGGACCTGAAGAAAGTTGCTTGGAACTGGGATGTCTGGGTTTCTCCACTGGACCTGTTAACGAAGATCCTTAAAGTTTTGCAGCAAGATGCTGCGCATCTTTTACAAGTCTCGTGTTGAGAGCATCATTTCTTTTGCCGTCATCTGCTGGGGCAGCAGTGTCAGAACCAAGGACTTAAAAAAGCTCAACAACCTGATAAAGAAGGCTGGTTCTGTTCTGGTTCTGCTCTGGGGACGATTGTGGAACTTCTGGAGATGATGATGCAAAGGATTTTAAATAAAAAACAACAAAATTAGACTTTGCCCTACCATCCACATTTCAACAGGACATTACACTCTATGTCTGGAATATCGCAAACTGTGAAAAAAAACACAATGGAGTCAGCACATCAGTCAGTTAGTACACAGATACAACTGTAGATAAAATGATACCACAGGATACTCTCCATATTTCTTAATGTACGGGAAAGAGGCAAGACTGCCCAATGGCATCTGGACTGTTGATGAGGGATAGAGTGAAATACCTCATCTTTTTTCATGTGGAGAACATGAAAAAAGAATTGCAGGAAGCTTATCAGCTGGCTACTGAAACAGCTAACAAGTCATCTCAGAAACAAGGCTCACTATAATCATTTAAGAAATCACGTAAAAATGGAAGACGACGTCTTAGTTGAAAATGTTGGCCTGACAAGAAATCAAAGATTGCTGGAAACCTACCACCTAAGAGACCAAGTTTGCCATTTTACAAAGTTCAAGATGACAGAAATAGCAGTGTCAAAACACTACATAGAAATCTTCTGTCTATAGGTCATGTGGTTCAGATGCCTGAGCAAAAAGAACCTGAGATGGTTAAGAAGCCCCTCGTCACAAGAAGGGACTGATTGGATCACCTCTATTGCAAAAGTGACATTTAAAAAAAACTACATTTCAAGAGGGAATCTTAAACTATCTTACCACACCAGTATCAATCCAATTCCAGGAATTGATAGATATTTTGGATCAATTCGCCCACCTCTACTATTCATCCTCTGCTCATCCAAACCAGCCGCACTGCCTTCTCCAAAAGCGTTTGAGGATTTTGTAGGAATGAACTGCTGATCGTTTTGCACTTAGTTTTCTGTCTTAGTCAGGAGGGCAAGTTTGTCATTCGGTTTATTTACTTTTAAATAAGTATGTTTAGGTTAAGGTCTGACAAGGATGGATTCTCCAAGTTATGATCTGGCCACCCTTACACAGGCCGCAACAAGGCAATTTGATTCTTATAGGCTTTATCTGTCCTGCCCTTAGGTCGCCGTTCAACCCACATTCAATATCAGACGCTGGACACAATTTAAAGAAAAGAATGATTTATTTATAAGTGAATATATTTTAAAAATGTCTTCTCTAGGGGCTTGGCACTACACAGGGTCTGAAACAGGGAGACTGGTTAGAAGCTTGCCAAAGGGGTAAATCTTGAATAGATGAGTCTTACGGTGTTAGGGGAAGTTGAAGTTTGGTCTATGGGCTGGGATCCTGCTGGTGATCAGTTAAAGCTGAGGAACCCGAAGGTTTATGTCCAGCAGGTAGCAGGTAGGCAGGCAGGTGTGAGCGGTATCAGGAGCAGCATTTGTTGAAGATGATTGCACCATTTGTTGAAGATCCGGAAGATGTCTTGTTTCTCAGAAAATTCTCCAAAGTAAGGAACCATTAGGAATTCATCAGAACCTAGGGGTCCAATAGAACACAAGGTAAGATCAAAGGAGAAACTCACAGGATTAGTCTTGTCAAAGAGACACAAGGAGCTCAGAGTACCAGTATTGGTTAATCATCAGACACCGATGAAGGCTCCGCTGCTCCTTAAATGCTGCTGGCAGTTTGATTGGAAATGCCGCCCAGGTGTGCTGGCTGCCAGATTCCCACGCACTGCCACAGAGATCCTCTAGGGAGCAGATGACTCACATTCACACAACTCAGAACACAGACACTGCAGGATCACGACAGTCTGGACCTTAATTATTGTATTTTAGATAGCATATACACAGCAGCCTCATTTCTGTGAAACTGACCAAGGTCAGCTGTAGCAAATGTGTAGCACCTTACCACCATTAACAAGTGAACAGCGTGTTTCCATCCAATTGTCAAGAAAATTTTGAGAAAATATTTTAAATGTTGCAAGAAAGAAAAAACAGAAAATGCAGATAAACTCTACAGAAGTACAAGGCATGAATGAATCCCAAATAATAAGAAGAACAAGAGAGACAGTAATACATATTCTATAATTTATTTCTGTCTGTTATCTTTTCTTTCTTTTCTTTTTTTCTTTTTGGAAAAAAAAAACACATTATAATTTCTCTCTATCTCGGAGCATTTTGTCCCCAACACCATGGCCAGACATTAATGGTAACCCCTAGCAACTTTGTCTTCAGACTTGGAGGTCAGAATCACTCTGAGATTTTTGTTCCTGTCTGGATTTAAAATTCTACTAAACCTGAACACTATGATTATTATGAACCAAGACCAAAGGGTAGGCTATCCAAAGTAGTCTAGTAGCCAACTTAGCGCAGACCTCCCTGACAGCATCAGTCTTTGCTCATCTACAGAAGTTCTTGGATGACTCAGCTGCGGTTGGCTGTATCAGTGAGGGTGATGAGGTTCTACTGGGTCAACCCCAACCAACATACAAACATCGAGCACATGACCCCTTACGCAGAGGTCACCAATCCCACCCAGTGGGGGACACCCTCACTCATGAGAGCTCCGGCCCCAAAAACCCAGTAAGGACACACAACCCCCGCTCCAAACACCCACATGACACCATAACTACTAGAAATTTTAACATGCCATGCTTAAGGATAGCTAAGGGAAGTTTACCAAAGCTGGTAAAATGTCAAAACTCACAAAAATGACCTTTTGATCCAAAAAGGTAGACTCTTCTGCTGGCTTTAGGTCATACCTCCTAAAGACTTTTACTTGTCTTGGAGGGCTCTACTTGTGTACAAAATTATTGTGCAATTACATAAAACATACGCATTATCCAATTTCACTTGTTGGATTTTTTTTTTTGTGAGATTTTCAAAACAACTCAAAAATTTTCAAATAAACATTTCTGACATTCAGAAAAGAAACGTGACCAACATAGCCATGCTTCTTTTCAATAACAGTGTTAAACTTACCATTCATGGAGTTTCTGTTTCTTGATGAGTTAAAGACCGACTAGAGTCGTACTGCCTCCCGTTTAAGAACTTCCGGCAAGTTCTCAACTGGGTTCAGGTCAGATGAGGAAGTGGACCATGTCATCATAAATTTTCATCTTTAATGTTTTTACTGGCCACACAGAATTTGTGCGATCATCCGTTGGAAGGTTGAGAACCGCAGTGTCAGAGTATTTGTGTGGGATTCTGCAGGAAATGTTTGGGTCCTGGAGCTCTGCCATTTTTGACGCATCATGGAGTTAGGTGGTTATTAAAGATACATTCTACACAACCCGTTGTGTTTTCATTCACTTATTAATCCCAAGTTTAAACAGTTTCTTATGGAACATTTATTGATGTCACTGATTATTGAAATTACTACATTTACTTTATTCTTTTTCAATTGATTTGCCTAGGTTTGGTGGTTCTGTTAATATGATCAAAGTTCTCTAAGCTGAACCTCAGTATTTGCAGTTGTGTTCTTGCTTCCGATATTGTGTTAACTTCTAATTTCAGTTTTCTTACTTCGTTTAAATGTTCTTCCTATGATACGAACAACAAAGATTTCGTCATATGTAATTCCAATTCAGCTGCCTTTTTTATTAATATAAAGAAGAAAGAAATGTTAGCATATGTACAAACCATTGCCGCCTCCCACATCATCAACGCCAACATGCTGCGCCATCCCAGACACACTTCAAATTGATTTTAATATTTCATTTGAAAAACATGTTTGAGCAACTATAAACTCACATAGTAAGACACTAACATACTCTTATATATTTTAGGCTATTTGTCCTCAATAAATTGAGTGATTGTATGGTTGATATGCTGAGGACTGTGAGGTTACTGAGGACTTTCTGAGTCACATACGTTTCTGTTTCAACTTTGAAAAATATTACAGAAATGCCCCTTAATTTTTCGTGAGATACCATACAGAACAATTGATACATGATGTATCAATTGTATCACTATCAAACATTCATAATGCTAAGCCTCACAGTGGTTACTTAGCAGTAGAAATTCATGGTCATGATGTTTTATTTTGAGTCATGTTCTATCTGAGTTTAGCTTTGTTTTTAGCTTGTTTCAGCGTGAATTACTTTATTCATTTTATTTGTCTAAAGTTCTATATAAATTTTATGTATTTACATATCAACTCTAACATCAGTTTCTCATTTTCTAATGTATCAGTTTTGATCAGTGTGTGTGTGTGTGTGTGTGTGTGTGTGTGTGTGTGTGTGTGTGTGTGTGTGTGTGTGTGTGTGTGTGTGTGTGTGTGTGTGTGTGTGTGTGTGTGTGTGTGTGTGTGTGTGTGTGTGTGTGTGTGTGTGTTTGTGGATGGGAGGCCGCTGCCGCGTGGTTCTTCAGTCAAACCACACTGATAGTGACACATCGCAGGATTAATGGCTGTTTAACTGAAGCAGAAAAGTAATGAAAGCATTGTGGTCACTTTTACATGGTGTATGTGTAGAATAATTGTGTTTTAATTAAAAATAGAGAGTAAGATTTACACCTTTGTGTGTTTGTACTATCTGCAGACCGTTGCTGTCATGAAGATTTGTTGGTGATGAGGAAGAGTTGAGGTGGAGGCACCGGGTGACGGAGAAAAATAATAATTTAATGTGGTCAGAAATCCAGAAAACTGTCAGGAACAGCCGACGCTACATGGAGCGACAATACAACCCTCTAAAGTTTGATCTGTAAAGGTTTTGATAATCAGATAGACTCAAAAGATTGTGATGACAGCCGGTGAGAAGACGAGGGCAGGAGATTCACTTTCTGTCATGGAACCCAAAATTCCTGGTGGTGCCACTGACAACAAGTCTAAACAGTTCCTTTTTCTTCTGTGCTGTTTATCTGGTCAAAAGTAACAAATACAAAATGCTTTTTCACCTTCCACAACTCACACAAGCCATTATGTCTTTGCTATTCCTCTAATACCCTGCAAAGTATTCAACCTTCTTGTCTGTCACACCTACAAGTAAGCAACAAAACTATATCAATTCAAACACTAGTTATTCACTTCCAAAGCCTCTTCTGAGTCATTCTGTGACAAAATAAAGACTCGTTTTCTTACAACAGACATAAACAAAGTGGGAGCTGTACCTCTTTACCACGTAAAAACGTATGTGTTTAGAAAAACAATGAACGCATCACAATAAAATCACCTTAAGCATTTCAAAATTTTAAAAAATATTTAAAGTAGGAGAAGAGTTCCTGTCAATATAGTACGGTAATATATCAATCCAGCTCTGAATACTGGTGATCCATGTGGTCAGCAAGAAATGTACTCATAGACAAAAGCTCCTAATGGCTGCCAATGGCATCATGGAGAGGCACAGTGATGATGTTTGGCGCACCGGAAAGAGAAGATTCTTAAAGAGACAGACGTCAAATTCAAGGCATCAAATTGCAAAGACAATTTGATGTATACAGCATTTTTTTAATAATTGAATGTAACATAATTACATGATTGTGCTATAAAATGCCAATATGTCCCTGGAAGTTACATCATACTGGGGCTGTGCAGTGTCAATCCTCAAGTTTGGTATAATACACATTTTTGTTCTCTGCCTTCTTCATCACATCTGAATCAAAAGATTTGCTAGCAGGTCTCTGCAGAACTTTATCTGCGTTTCCATTAAAACTCTGCCTAAAATGCTTTGGATATTCTGCTAAAAAGCACAATTTCAAAATTGCTGTGTTTCTGTTAAATATTAAATGCAATTAAAGTCACACATACAGTGGTCACAAGAAACTGCTGAAGCCCCACAGGATTGTTTTGAGTCTACAAACTAGGTTACTCTTTGCCAGCCACCTGGAGAGGACATCAGTGCCATGACTGAGTGTGTGACCATCTATATAAACTAAACACCAACATCACCAGATCAGTGAGACGCTTCCCTGAAAAAAAACCTGGATCAACCAGTGAACAAAAGGAACTGTTGAACAAGAAAGAAAACCTTTAAGGAGCGAGACAGAGTTATACAGAAGCAGCTCAAAGTCAAGATCACAGACAGCAAGAAAGACAGGAAGAACCTGGAGAATAAACTGTAGAGGAAGAATATCAAAGATGTGTGGATAGAAGAAGATCACAGGCTTCAAGCAAAAGGAGGATCAGGTAGATGGAAGTTTTGACAGAGCAAATGGGCTGAACACATTCTTTAACAGGTTCAGGTCAGGCACAAGCCCATCTTCGTCCTCTCCGGTCCCCAACCAGACAAACATCCCACCTTCCTCTGACCCACAGCTTTCCTGTCAGTCCTTAGATGTTTCATCTTCCACCTCAGTCATGGACTCTTCTGCTTTCACAAATTTGTCTTCGACCAAATCAGGAGATGCTGCTGCTCCCTTTATCTCCGACTCCCACTTTTCTGTATCTAGAAGTCAGACGAAGAGGCAGCTGGAGAGACCGAACCGGAACAAGGCTGCAGGTCTGGATGGCGTCAGCCCCAGTCCTGAAGGCCCGAAGCTACAGAGCAACTCTGTGGGATTCTGCAACATTCCTTCGACCTTAACCTGACTCAAGAGAAGGTTCTGCTGATGTGGAAGACATCCCGCTTGGTTCCGGTACCGAAGAAAACTCACCCATCAGTCATCAGTGACTATAGACCCGTTTCCCTGACATCCCACATCATGAAGGTCCTGAAGAGACTCCTGTTGGCCCACCTGAGTAAACAGACAAACTCATATCAAGACCCCCTTCTGTTTGCTTATTTCCGTGGAGTTGGAGATGATAATGCCA